ATAAACCCACAACTGTCCGGCTTATTCTTGCTTTAGCTGCTCATTTTGGCTGGAAGCTTACACAAATGGATGTTAAAATGCTTTTCTTCATGGAACATTACAAGAGGAGGTGTACATGACTCTACCAAAGGGTTTTGTTGATTCTACTCACCCAGATTTTGTTTGTAAGTTGAACAAGTCCCTCTATGGTTTAAAACAGGCTCCAAGAGCCTAGAATGATAGATTTACAAAGTTTTTGCCTCAGCTGGGTTTCAAACCATCTTATGCTAATCCTTCACTCTTTGTCAAATATGATGCTGATGGGTCAATGGTTGTGCTACTTTTGTATGTTGATGATATCATCTTGACAGGTAACAATGAGATTTTAATTCGTGCTGTTATGTCTCAACTTTGCACTGAATTTGATATGAAGGATTTGGGTGATTTACATTATTTTTTTAGGACTACAAATTGAGTATAAACAATCAGGATTGTTTGTTCATCAGATTAAGTATGCTACTAAGATTTTACACAAGGCAAAAATGTTTGATGCTAAGCCTTGCACCATTCCCTGTCATCCTCACCAGAAATTACTCAAGTCTGGTAGTCTTCCTTTCTCTAATCCCAGTCACTTTAGGAGTATTGTGGGTGTTCTTCAATATCTTACATTTACCAGGCTTGATATTGCTTTTTCTGTGAATCAAGTTTGCCAATTTATGCATCATCCTTTGGAATGTCATTATATGGCAGTCAAAAGAATACTACGGTATCTGAAAGGGACTCTTGGTTATGGTATTACTTTTCAATCAGGTGATTTGGATTTGAGGGCATTTTCAGATGCTGATTGGGCTGGTGACCCAAATGATCGACGATCAACTTCTGGGTTTGTTATTTTGCTTGGTTCTAATCCTATTTCATGGAGTTCTAAGAAACAACATACAGTTTCTCGGTCATCCACGGAAGCTGAGTACAGGGCCATGGCTTCCACCACTGCAAAAGTAGTTTGGATTAAACAATTACTGCATGATTTGCATGTTACTACAACTTATTCTCATGTGTTGCATTGTGATAATATCTCTGCAATGGCCCTAGCAACTAATCCAGTTTTGCATTCAAAGGCCAAGCATATTGAAATAGATTGTCACTTTGTTCGAGAAAGGGTGCAAGATGGTTTCTTAGAGCTCCAGTTTGTTTCCTTTGCTGAACAATATGCAGATATATTAACAAAAGGGTTGTGCTATCCTCTCTTTTCTTATCATTGTAACAATCTCATGCTCGGTTTATCCAAGCATGACATTAAGGGAAGATGATAGATTAGTAATAGATTAGTAATAGGACACATGTCATTCATCTGTCATGTTATTAATTCAATGGATGTAATGTCTCATGAACTGATAAGGAAGGCTAAAAAAGCCTTGGCGGTTGGTTGTTTTGCTTAATAAAGAAGAAATACATTTTCAGCTCTCTCTCTTGTTTCTCTCTCTAAATTCCTTCTCGAAATCCTTTTTCAATTTCTCTGTGGATTAGTGAGTTAGATTGAAGAACATTATCAAAATGAACTATAAAAGGGCCAGTGGTTAATTGAACAAAGTCAATACACCTGAATAACATTCTAATTTTTAGCTAAGCACTATATTGCCAAGAAAAGTGTCCATATTGTTGTGAATGTAAGAAAGGTGAGTTGGCACTATAATAAAATGCCTAGAATCTATTCATTTCAAGTAAATAAAAATCATAGACTTGGAGATGGACAAATCGGATGTTGAAAAGTGTTGTTGGAGTGGGGACCCTCAGCATGTTGACCTGAAAAATTCAACATGGTATCAGAGCTAAGGGACGGGCTTGTTTTGCCACGTGATTGGATGGGTCCCCTTTGGCCTCATGCGATGAGTGAGTCCCAATTTGGCTCCACGTAGACCAATGTTGCCACATGATTGGGTGGGTCCCATTGACCCCGCGTGTTGGGTGAGCCCCAACTTGGCTCCCACACGTGTGACCTACTAATTGGATCCTGCGTGCAAGGGCAGACGTGTTGTTGGAGTGTGGACCACTTGAAAAATTCAACAAAAAGTGTTAAAATTGCTATCTTAACAATCAATATAACCTATATACACCTAAAGGTCTCAGCAAATAATTGAATGTAAAACAATAAACATGGATGAGAGGATTGAGTAATTAGGAATTCTATCATTTATGTGAAATAGAAAACATGCATTAAACTTGACACAACTCTACCTTTACATTGAGCCTTAGGAACTTCACGTAACCGTTATCGCACCAAGCATGGCAGCTCTACGGCAGCTCTACCCGTCAGCACAAAACAGAAGCACAGAGAATACAGATGATGAGGTCGCAAGTAGCCGTAACAATATGCAAAATCCACAAAGCAGCACCATTGGAATTATTTTGCTACAAAATTTGTCAGAAAATCAGCTCTGGAATGCCATTAGCACGTCATCGCCAAAAAATTTATATATAATCACTCAATCAAACCAACTAATGAATAATCACACACAAACAAATTAAAAATGCAAGCTTTATTAATTTCTCACGTGAGATTTTGTCAAAATTTGCAATCTCAAGAGTTGTAGATGTACTTCAAATGAGCATTTTGGAGTAAAATTTAGAGCCATGGTGAAGGGGTGTTCGGCCAACTCTAGGATTAGTATTCTTGGGTTCTTGTTTGTCTTATTTAAATGGAATTTAAAATGACATTAGAAACCCCCAAGAAGCCTAGAATTTTATCCCCTTTGTGTGAGTGTGTTTTGGGTTTTATTGAACAAAAAACCGTAAGCAAAACAAAGGAAGAAATCAGATTTAATAGAGCTACAGCATTATAATGAACTTCAGCTTAAAAAAAGGGTAAGTTACACAAAACCACCTCAATTTGGGTCAGAGAACAAACTCATACCTTGTCTTTTGAAAATTGCGATGTCATACATCAACTTAGAAATTCGTTGCAATGTCATACAGCGGTTAGTCGGTCTATCAAATAGACCAAATTAAAACTAATTGAAATTTGAAAGTAATCAAACCCCTAAAAACAGAATGGAGAACAAAGTAATCGAAACAATGGCAGAAGGAAAAGGAAAGTTAGGTTTTCTTGAACTTGCATGCCTTCTCTTGAAATGAAATGGAATGAGAGCCGCATCTAATCGCAGAATTGAGTACCAATAGAAGAATCTAGTGGACAACTTAAAAAAAAAAAATGAAACGTGTGGAGAAATGGAAGAGTACTTCCTGGCCAAAGGTTGAAAGGGAGGAGTGGTGTTTGACTCAAACAACCTGCAGTGTGGGGTGAAACCGTGAAACTGATTTTTTTTTTTTTTAGTAACGGTTTGCTGTGATTCTGAATTTGGTATTTTAATTTGTGATAACATCAGAGCTATATTTCTATAGTACGATTTTGACCAGATTTTATTTGGGTAGTTATGGGTTGTTCATCCTTATCAAGTGATAGCATTTTAGGGATATTCAAATGTTTCACTATTTTGGCGTACTCCTTTTGTATATAGAGATATATAATACATTGTACAAACTGACAATCTTATTAATTTTGAAACTTATTTGTTTATAATAGCGAGCTTAATGATATAGAATTGTAATTTTGTACAATTTATTTTTGTTTACTAATGAAATAAGACTACAAGATTGTCTCAAAGAAAATCTTTAAACTTGAGTTATCTTCTCTTCTCAAGTCTCAAACTTTTAAAAGGTTTCCACCTTATGGTTGATGATTAGGCACCGAATTCACTGAAGTATTTGAACTATCAAGATGAGAAAAGTTTTCCAAGTACTCATAAAATGGAACATTCAATATGTCACTAACACGTGTAAATTCGACTGAATCCACACCATGAAGCTTTGTGTAAGTCCAATTCACAAATTGCAGGTGGAATAAGGACCTCCAATTAACCATGAAGCTTTGTTTATAATTTTTAGTGGTATAAAATTATAAAATTAATGTTTTTCTTACCGTGTTTCAGGTTACTCGCATGTATACGTAGACCGATCCATTATCTTAACAAGTGCTTATGAGGTTACTCGATAATGACCCAATTCATTATCGTATCTACTCCAAACCTGCTAATTTCATGTTTTTTCGGGTCAGGTTAATAGATTGTGTAAAAAATTGTCAGGTGTAGTCATGACCCATGAAGCCCGCGTAGCATATCTCCTCATCCATAGTCAATCACGTTTACTCGATATTTTTGGAAATTATGTATAGTCACGTTTGAAGGAAATGGATGAATGAGAAGGATTGTGGATCATTTTGTTTTTTCCTTTGGCATCTAATTTTGTTTTCCATTTATATCTTTAATTCAGTGTCGTGAGTTTTTAAGACTTGTATCCTTTTCAATCTCATTTTCAGTTCTCTTTGTTTATTTCAACACAAGTTGGCTTACTCTCACGACAAAATTAAGTGTTGGGTTTAAATTTTGGGGAAATGTTTACTACTTTATTTTTTTACTATTGAATGAATTTACATTTCGAAATTTGTGTAGTAGATACATACAAATCTCGAAATCTGTCTAGATTATGGAAAGATGGGAAGAGATCCTCTCCGAGCCTATACATCCAGAGTCCAGGGATCAAATAATCACGGCCTTTAAAATTTGATCTAACGACTAAAAGCAGAGAAGTTGTATAGAAGGACCATGGCAAAGTTTGTGACAAAAGGTGGTTGAACAGTTTGACGTGTTCTGGTTCATAATTATCTACACGATTTTGGAGATAAGGTTTTGAAGATTATGAATGCGGATTAAATTTGGGTTATAGTAAAACACTAGATTATATTGCCCGCGCATAGCTGTGAGTTTTAAAATTGTGTCAAATGTTTTGTTCAAAGAATGTAAAAATGATTTGAGAAAAACACTAAAACTGTTTAAATTGGAAATGTTTGAAAAATTGTTCAACAAATAAAATGTGTGAAAAATTTCTTGTAAAACAGGAGTGCAACATAGGATACGGACTCTGGGTTAATAGCTCCTGGTATACTGCTATTTACATGCAAAAAATGATTCAGCCAGACATTTGAATTTAGTGGTTTGTAGCTTTACATTGGCTGCAATAGTTGCTCAAAAAATATTACAGAGTTATGTGCTATTTACACTCAAAATATATTGGCAACATTGTGTTATTTACATGCCAAAAACATTAGCAACATTGTGCTATTCACATGCAAAAAATATTAAGGCATTTAGACCATGTTGTACTGTTCAGTTGGCAAAAGATATAGAGAAACATTGTCTGGATTTATTAAAATCCATAATAACTATGTCATGCTTCTCTTGAGCAGAACATGAAGCATGCATTTTATGCCTTGTTTTTCTTCAGCAAAACATGAAGCACTTGCATCAAACCTTCTTTACTGTTGAGGAAGCAATCCAGGGAATGGAAAAAAAAAAAAGTAAAACATCAAAACAAATGTTAGAATTATGCAAGAATAAAATTAAAATCTGGAAAATATAATAAAGACAAATGGTCACCTAATATTTTTTTTGGTGGAGAGATGTTTTTTTCTGAACCAGTTGGAGAAGACCTTTTCAATAACTTGATAGGAATTTCATCAAAATCTTGGACACTAGCTTCTTAAATTTCTTCCATATCATTGTTATAAAAGCAAGGCAAACATTGAAAAATAGGGATGCATAATAGAAAAAAAAATAATAATAATTAAAGACGGCAAAGATAGTTGTTCACCAATGTATTACCTTTTCTTGGCATCGATAAAAATGATCTACTGACTAATTCCCTCTTTCTTTTATATGATTGGGCACTTGCATTTGAGGTTGAGGTAGATGATGATACTGTAGTGGAAGACATTGCCACTTGTCTGAAAAGAGGCAGCGGTGTTGTTGGTTGCATGGACACATCTTCAGAGACATTGTGGATAAGAAGATCATTGGAGTTCATGTAATTTTTGAGCTTGCTGAATTGAAGGTGGAAAGTTTTTTTCTGGCCTATCAGTCTAAAAATTCATTTGGCAACTGTTGTTGATTCCCTAGTGTCAAATTGAAGACCAAATTTTTGCAGCTTGTACCAAATAATTTTTCCCCGCATTTACCAATGATCAAAGCACTGATTTCATCAATTTCATCCTGAAGAATAAATGAAAGTTAGTTGTTGTAATTCAATTTACAATAGCAAGACAAATTGATAATGCAGTTGATGAACATAAACATTATTCATGATTGATTTATTTGATCAGAAAGATTTCATTGATCAAAGTAAATGGAAATATATGTTTTGTACATAGTAAGTGAAGTGGTAAATTTGCTATATACATGGTTCACAGGTGAGGAATTAGTTATTAAAGCACTGATTTCATTAGTTTCATCTTGAAAAACCAAGGCTAACTTGTACCTATGTTTGAAAATGAAAGTTAGATGTTGTAATTCAGTTTATAGCGGCAAGAAAAATAGATAATGCAGTTGATGAACAAAAACAGACACACCCCGACCCGGAATGTTCACTAACACTAGGAATCGAGTTGCGCTGGCCGACACCTTGACGGTGACGAAGCCATAAAGTGTGATGATGTGGGAAAATGTGAATAAATTTAAACCTAAGAGTGCCTAAGTACCAAAGTACGCTGGTGAGAGGGAAGGAACCCACTTCACAATTGACGTTAGAGCATAAGTAAGTACAGTAGAGGATTAAGAATCGTACCCTCGAAAGAATCTCCAACTAGGAATCGCCACGAATCTTCGATGATAAGAAAGCACAGCTAATAAAACCTGGAGGGTGAAAACAAAACAAGTGTGAGTGGCCCTGGAGATAAAATTTTAATAGAAACCATATAAAAATTATAACCCCTCGCTGAAACACCTGTACAATTTCCAGAAAAATCATATCACGTATCAATGTGAAATCAAGATTATATCAATTGTACATCCATAATTATGCTACAACACAGCATCTCATCGGCAATATCAATAATCATGTGATTAATAACCCACACTAGCACGCAAGTCGGAGTCACCTATGGTGACCTATACGACTGCACCCATATCTCATCAGTCAATGCTAGCATATAACTCGGAGTCACCTCTTGTGACCTATACGACTTATCCATATTTAATCACATACGCAAGCTCATCACGTATTTCATCACATATGCTAGCTCATCAAGTATTTCATCACATATGCTAGCTCATCACGTATCTCATAACATATGCTAGCTCATCATATATCTTATCACATATGCTAGCTCATCACATATCTCATTACATATGCTAGCTCATCATTTATCTCATCACATTGCTAGCTCATCACATATCTCATCACATATGCTAGCTCATCACATATTTTATCACATATGCTAGCTCATAAGTCGACGTCACCTCTAATGACCTGTACGACTTATCCATAGCTCAATAAGTATACTTGCACATGAGTTGAAACCACCTAAAGTGGTCTGTACGACAGGACTGGGTGTAAATAAATACGCTCAAGTGCTACGATCATGTGAAGGCTGTGCGAATAATCGCGGGTCACCTACGAGTCGGAACCACCTATAGTGGTTTGTACGACAGGACTGTGCACCTACCTTGGATCCAAGGTGAGCGTAAGGTGCAGGAGGTGAACATCACATGAATGACTGTGCCCTGGCCATGGGCAAGAGCACTAACACCGGGGTGCAGGTTTATGAGCTCTCAATGTATCTCAACATAACATGTACGATTCATGGGCAACTCGTACGACAATGTTTGAGTTGCTTAATACATGCATGTAGTCATGCCATAACTCCATCATTTCAACTAATACCATAAACTTACCTGAATTTACCTGGGTTTCCTGCGTTCACCTTTGCATTTCAAACGTTCACAATAATTATGTTCGGGTAATATACATATAGATATACCATGATGCAATCTAATACTCACCCATGACATAGCATAATCAATTATATATATATATACTTATATATATATATATATATATGGCATAAAAATGCATAAGTTGTAACTCCCTATTCTTGAACTATTTATTTTCAGGAATAATTACCAGTGATAAGCCCAACTAGACACTAGTTTAATTAACTATCATTACTTACGTTTCCTTGCTTCAAATTCTTGATTCTTCACACATTGTTTTATAACCAACAATTAATCACCAAGTCCTAAGGTTGACTCTCACATTTTCTACCAATGTCCCTCACATTACTCAATTCCCTACACAAGACTATTGCCTCAATTGTTTAGTCTCACTTCTTGTATGGCTGCATCTAATGTCTCGTTAGACTGCCTACGTACCCTAAACATGGATATAGCCATTCGTAGTTCACAATAATTATGCAATAATTCAATTTATAAACGTCTATGGAATTGTCAATTTTATATATATACACACGATAGAAAGGAAAAGACCCACTCACCTGAGGTCTGCGCTACGATTCCCTAGCATGCATATCAAGATATCACAAACCATCGTCGCCTATGACCAATTATCAAATCACATCTCAAAGTTCGATCGATAAAATACATAATTTACATAAAACGCATCCCTACGTAATTAAATTTGGAAGATCTGCATCACAGATTTTTGATCCGTTTCTTCCAAAGATCCACATTATGCTTATAGAACAACATCCTAAGGTTTCATTACAATCCAACGGTCGGATCTCCGCCAATTGCCAAAACCAAATAACGGTCAACATTTTAATTTATAAACTTACAAATCCAATTCGGGAAAATCCGTAAGTTTCTATGGTCCTCAAATATTATGTATTATAACATATTAAAGTTTGGTGACAATCCAACGATCGAATCATCGATTCATATCTTTACCAAGTAACGTACCCCTAATGAGTTTAGGTCCAAATGATCAACCGACGATATACAATTGCCAAAACTGAACTCAAGATATCTAATTTAGCCTAAGGATAACATCGACGGTCCCTTGGCCACACGCCGCCGTGGGTGGCAGTCGACCGCCCCGACTTGCCGGAAAATCTAACTATTTCCAAAAATTACCAAAATCTACAGCAATGAAGGTCTCAATGAGTAGAGTAACTTTCATACCTATGACCAATGCCAATTTGGCCTGGAAAAGCCTCAATTTCATGGAAACCACGCCGGAACCCTAGGTTTTGGGGTGCTTTGATTCGTCCTCAACTCAACTCCGTCACTCCAATCAATGATTGGGCATTGTTTTTAGGCTCAAGGGAAATATATTGGTGGTGGCAATTGAGAGAAATCATTGCAGAAATGGCGGATTGCCACCAAGAACACCATGGTGCCACCGGTGCTCTTGCCACAAAACCAAGACCAAATCTTGTCCAATTTGTGCAGGAAATTGAAGAGGAATGATCGATGAGGAGTTCCCAAGTAGTAGGCCGGTTCAATTCACCAGAATTTAACCAAAGAAAGCATTGGATTTCATGCATTTCCGCCGGGTTGGGCACGGTTCATGGTGAACCCGGCGATTCTCCTCCTCCTTTTCTTCTCTCATTTCTCTCCTCTCTCCCTTCTCTGGTTGGTCATCATCTCCTCTCTCCTTTCCCTATTCGTCCACCCTCTCTCTCTTCTTTCTGATTGTGCAGTGCCCCTCTTTCTTCTCTTCTCCTCATTCCCCCACTTCCTCCTTCTATTCTTCTTCCTTTTTTCAAATAACTAAAACAAAAAATAATTATCAACATTATAAAATATATGAAAATATATAAATAGTGACTAAAACAAAAATACTTCTCGAGTTTACAGTTTCGTAAAACTTTAACCGCAACCCTAAATCCTCTTCTGATTACGCCTACGAGTCCGTAATGTCGAGTACTTCAGGAAAATGCTAAAGGATTAATTCATACACCTCACTATATGTTGATCCACGAAAGTCAATACCCTCACCTCTAAGGGTATTTTCGTAAAATCATGTTTTTAAAATTAATAAAAATGTAAAATTTGGGATAGGCTATCACAATCTACCCCTCTTAAGGAAATTTCATCCCCAAAATTTTAAAATCATAGTTACACAAGGTTCAAAGATAGGGAAGAATAAAATATATGTACTAACGTAAAAAAGACCTGCATATTTATTTGCTCCACTAATCCAACAAATAAGTCTTTGATTATACGGTCCGCAATCCGTGATATCGACAACTCCCTATTGTCACGCTAAATAAGTAACGAATTCCCGGAGGTGCAATATAACAAGCGTGCCCCCCATTGGGAAATACACAAACAGCGTCTAAATAAGTCTCAAACGTGCTCACGCACTACTTTCTCAGATAACATCGTCCATACCATAAGATTTCCATGTCACAATCTCCATCATTCTAATACCTACCCACAACTCTCTGATGCAACTCACAATTGCTACCACATCTCAAATGGTGCCATACCCATAACCAGGAATGTAACCTCAGTTACACATAACTCTAGTAAGGCTAAGTGTCTAACAATCATGTATTGTGCATAAAGTCTCTGTATATCAACTCTAATGGTATCATAGCCAACCATAGTTACAAGCAACTAAAATAGAGATAATGGTATTTTACACCCATACAACTCTTGAGGCGAGCAAAATGCAACACGTCCACTAAAGTCTGAGTAACTCGCTTCAATCTAATCGTTAGTTTAGGGGTGGAAATGTGATACTAAACAACTAATACTTACAACCTTTAAAAAGACTTCCAAAGGCTTGGAAGTGAAACACGTAACATGGTGAATTATAAATACATCAAGATGATAATCTTATTGGGTTTCTGATTGCCAGAACTCGTATAAAAGCCTAGGAGCAGTTTTCTCATAATGTCATCATCCTCCGAAAGCAACAGAGAAGAAACTATGGTTGTATAGAAACTATGAATTTTATTTCTTCAAACATCTTTCCTACTCTAACCAAAGGCAAAACGCCCAGATTGAAAATTCTCTTCCAACACACCAAATGGAATCTCAATTTTAATTTCAGTTTTATCCCCACATTTAAACATGTCACGAACGAGGACCTTTAGATCACGTCGCACGGACACGTTAACAACATCCCACTTCTATCGTAGTTACCTTCACAAGTGTCTTGTTGTTGAAATTTCAACACCCATTTTAAGAAAATAAATCATCGCCAATACTTTAAGTTTTGAGGCTAGAAGAATACTGCTTTCTACTTAAGTTAAACTACCACCAATTGGAACACCACATGAGTGTAACATTGGTTCAGCATCACGATTATTGATTTTCACATTTTCTACACATACAAAATACCTCGAACTGAGAGGGTATAATGATATTTCCCAACTCCATTCATATAACAATATGATTATAATCATTCAGATTATTTCTTGATGGTTAACGGTAACTCCATATCAACACCCATATTTTCCAACTGAAATAGAATAGGACAACTGAAAGTATTCAAGAATAAATATGTCCTTGTACAACTGGAAAGATACATGATAGTACACTCATAGCTGCTAATTAAATTCTTTTACTGCCACTGTCAGAAACTTAGTCCTTTCCAAAAATAAGTATATTTACGAAGTTCCAAGGTTGATAAAGATTTCAGACACGTTCTCCTCAGAGAAATCATTTGATTTCCGAGCAAAGATGATAATTATCGACTTTAAATCATGGATAAAATAGTTCATTCCAATTGGTTATATACCTTGGTAAGACTACTATGAATTCAACAAGTTTCACGAGAAACTCTAATTTTCAAAAGTTTGTTACATAGACCACCAATTTGAAATAGGATTTGTGCGAAAAGACGCATGAAAACTAATGTAGTACGAAGAAGTGGAATGGTGGTATCCTCCCGAATATCGCCAAGGAATCAAACTATTTTTTATTTCTACTCTCAAAAGGTTTAATAATGATGGTTAACAATAATGATGAGATTGACCCGCAAGTTCTTAGCGATACACCAATAATGATACATTAACCCCATGTTAGGGCCATCAACTAGTCTCAATTCCACACCTTTCCTTGACAGAAACGTTCTTTGATTATAATATAGAGACACTCGCCAAAATGATCTTCTAAAGATCGATAAATCATCAATTTTGCCCAAAACTTTGGAACAACTAACAAATTTTTTATATTCGACGAGGTTGCAAGATTCAAACATTAGACTCGAGAACCAAGAATGCTCGCATCACGTGTGTGATGAGCGCAATACTACCCAACTTATGCTCTAATACCAAACTAACACACCTCGACTTGGAATGTCCACTAGGACTCCGAATCGATCTACGTTGGCCAACACCTAGAAGGTGACGAAGCCATAAAGTGTGATGATGTGGAAAAATGTGAATAAATTTAAACCTAAGAGTGCCTAAGTACCAGAGTACACTGGTGAACAGGAAGGAACCCACTTCACATGTGATGTTAGAGCATAAGTAAGTACAGTAGAGGATTAAGAATCATACCCTCGAAAGAATCTCCAACTAGGAATCGCCACGAATCTTCGACGATAAGAAAGCATAGCTAATAAAACCTGGAGGGTGAAAACAAAACAAGAGTGAGTGGCCTTGGATATAAAATTTTAATAGAAACCATATAAACATTATAACCCCTTGCTACAACACTTGTACAATTTCCAGAACAATCATACCACGTATCAATGTGAAATCAAGAGTGTATCAACTGTAAATCCATAATTATGTTACAACACAACATCTCATCAGCAATATCAATAATCATGTGATTAATAACGCACACTAGCACGCAAGTCGGAGTCACATATGGTGACCTGTACGACTGCACCCATATCTCATAGATCAACGCTAGCATATATGTCAAAGTCACCTTTTGTGACCTATACGACTTATCCATATCTCATCACATATGCTAGCTCATCACATATTTCATTACATATGTTAGCTCATCACGTATTTCAACACATATGCTAGCTCATCACGTATTTCATCACATATGTTATCTTATCACGTATCTCATCACATATGCTAGCTCATCACATATCTCATCACATATGCTAACTTATCACATATGCTAGCTCATCACATATTTCATCACATATGCTAGCTCATCCCATATCTCATCACATAAGCTAGCTCATCACATATCTCATCACATATCTCATCACATATGCTAGCTCATAAGTCGGAGTCACCTCTAGTGACTTGTACGACTTATCCATAACTCAATAAGTATGTCTGGACAAGAGTCGGAACCACCTAAAGTGGTATGTATGACAAGACTGGTGTAAATAAATACGCTCAAGTGATACGATCACGTGAAGGCTGTGCGAATAATCGCGGGTCACCTACGAGTCGAAATCACTTATAGTGGTTTATACGACAAGACTGTGCACCTACCTTAAATCCAAGGTGAGCGTAAGGTGCGGGGGTGAACATCACATGAAGGACTGTGCCCTGGCCACGAGCGGGAGCACTAACACTGGGGTGCAAATTTATGAGCTCTCAATGTATCTCAACATAACATGTACGATTCATGGGCAACCCGTACGACAGTGTCGGAGTTGCCTAAAACATGCATGTAGTCATGCCATAACTCCATCATTTCAACTAATACCATAAACTTACCTAAACTCACCTAGATGTCCTGCGTTTACCTTTGCACTTCAAGCGTTCACAATAATTATGTGCAGGTAATATACATATAGATAAACCATAGCATCTTCAATTATATACATATATACTTATATATATAAATATATATGTGTATATATATAATATGGCATAAAAATGCATAAGTTGTAACTCCCTATTCTCGAACTATTTATTTTCAGGAATAATTATCAGTGATAAGCCCAACTAGACACTAGTTTAAATAACTATCATTACTTAGGTTTCCTTGCTTTAAATTTTTTATTCTTCACACATTGGTTTATGACCAACAACTAATCACCAAGTCGTAAGGTTGACTCTTACATTTTCTACCAATGTCCCTCACATTACTCAATTCCCTACACAAGACTATTGCCTCATTGTTTAGTCTCACTTCTTGTATGGCTGTGTCTAACGTCTCGTTAGACTGCACACGTACCCTAAACAAGGATCAAGCCATTTGTAGTTCACAATAATTATGCAACACTTCAATTTATAAACGTCTATGGAATTGTCAATTATATATATATATATATAGACACACACGATAGAAAGGAAAAGACCCACTCACCTGAGGTCCGCGCTACGATTCCCTAGCATGCATATCAAGATATAACGAACCATCTTCGCCTATGATCAATTATCAAATCACATCTCAGAGTTCTGATCGATAAAATACATAATTTACATAAAACGCATCACTACGTAATTAAATTTGGAAGATCTGCATCACGGGTTTTTGATCCGTTGCTTCCAAAGATCCACATTATGCTTATAGAACAACATCCTAGGGTTTCATTACGATCCAATGGTCGGATCTCCGCCAACTGCCAAAACCAAATGGCGGTCAACATTTTAATTTATAAACTTACAAATCCAATTCGGGAAAGTCCGTAAGTCGGATTTCTTATCCGTAAGTTTCTATGGTCCTCAAATATTATGTACTATAACATATTAAAGTTTGGTGACGATCCAACGATCGGATCATCGATTCATATCTTTACGAAGTAACGTACCCAAATAAGTTTAGGTCGAAACGATCAACCTATTATATAAAATTGCCAAAACTGAACTCAAGATATCTAATTTAGCCTAAGGATAACATCGACGATCCCGTGGCCACGCGCCGCCGCGGGTGGCGGTTGGCCGCCCCGACTCGCTAAAAATTCAACTATTTTCAAAAATTACCAAAATTTACAACAATGAAGGTCTCAATGAGTAGAGTAACTTTCATACCTATGACCAAGGCCAATTTGGCCTGGAAAAGCCTCAATTTCATGAAAACCCGCCGGAACCCTAGGTTTGGGGGTGCTTTGATTCGTTCTCAAATCAACTCCGCTGCTCCAATCAATGATTGGGCATTGTTTCTTGGCTGAAGGGAAGTATATTTGTGGTGGCAATTGAGAGAAATCATTGCAGAAATGGCAGATTGCCACCAAGAACACCATGGTGCCGCCGATGCTTTTGCCAAGAAATCAAGATCAAATCTTGTCCAATTTGTATAGGAAATCGAAGAGGAATGATTGATGAGGAGTTCCCAAGTAGTAGGTCGTTGGAATTCGTCGGAATTTGACCGGAGAAAGCACTGAATTTCATGCATTTCCGCCGTGTTGGGCACGGGTCATGGTGAACCCAGCGATTCTCCTCCTCTTCTTCTCTCCTTTCTCTCATTTCCCCCTTCTCTGGTTGGTCATCTTCTCTTCTCTCCTCTCCCCATTTGTCCACCCTCTCTCTCTTCTTTCTGATTGGGCAGTGGCCCTCTTTCTTCTCTTCTCCCCATTCCCCCACTTCTTCCTTCTTTTCTTCTTCCTCTGTTCAAATAACTAAAATGAAAAATAATTATAAACATTATAAAATATGTGAAAATATATAAATAGTGACTAAAACAAAAATACTTCTCGAGTTTACAGTTCCGTAAAACTTTAACCGCAACCCCAAACCCTTTTCTGATTGTACCTATGAGTCCGTAATGTCGAGTACTTCAGGAAAATGCTAAAGGATTAATTCATACACCTTACTATATGCTGATCCACGAAAGCCAATACCCTCGCCTCTAAGGGTATTTTCGTAAAATCACGCTTTTAAAATTAATAAAATGTAAAATTTGGGACGAGTTTTCATAAAAACAGTTATTCATAATAGATTTATTTAATTAGAAAGATATTACAATTAGAGCTAAATGGAAATATATGTTTTTTACATAGTAAGTGAAGTGCTAAATTTGCTGGACATATAGTTTAGAGGTGAAGGATTAGTGAAACTATTAATAATCAAACTCATTACTTTAAGACAAAGAAGAAAATACCAAGGAGTTGGAATTTGATTTGGGTGTTTGTGGCAAGTTAACTATCCACTTGGATCCTTATGCATTTGCTTGACACAGGTTGGGCAAACACTATACCACTAGTTGTGATGTGTGTCAAAGCGTTTGACAGATGCTTCACACAAAAATGTATCATCCTAGAAAATATTTTAACCAACATTTGCATCAGTGATGTTCATAATAAATATGTTTTGTTAAAAATGTGAGAATCCAATGACAAAATTTTAGCCAAAGAAAATAACATGTGATCAATTTGTATACCTTGTGTAAATCTGGATCCAAAAAACCCAACTGATCAATTATCATTTTTTTCGCGGCCTGCAAGATTTCAACTTCATTTACTTCGTTTGAAGAGGAGGGCAATATTCTGAGAGAATATGCTGAACTCGAAAACCTGCAACATTTAATATGTAATTTTATCTCGATGATATTGCAGAAACAAAAAATTTTGCATTCCAAAAATATTTAACACATATTCAGTATGTTTTAACATCATTAAATATGCTCACACTGATTTGTATGAGTTTATTTCTGTAATGTCCAGTGCTGTATAGGATAACACTGCCTGCATACAAAGAAAACAACGATCAAAGTGAAAACAAACAATTAACAAAAATAAAAAATCTACCAATATAATTTAAATACCTCAATGTAATACAAATTGAGTTAGTTTTTACAAATTTTCAAAAAGTTGTACCAAAAGGGAATGATAATTTATTAACTCGTATGATAACATATGCAAGTATAAGCAAATGTTGTAATTAACAATGCATGTGTATCTATGTAATGAAAGAATAGCAATATTCAAATTAAATAAAATGACAACATTTAAGACAAATTGTATAATAAATTTATTAGAGAAGGATGTAAAATTGATCATTATTTTGTTAAATTAAATACCCTAGTACAACTGCACTTTTAAACTTGTAAAAGCAGTGATAACTGGCGGGAACAAAGCTTCTAGTGACAGAGAAGAAAATTTTTTTGCAACATCTCCCTACAGTGTAAGTTTTGCCTCTTCTTTTCTTCATCAAAGTCCAATTCGAAAAAGAATTTTACCACTCAATTAAAAGATTTTTTTTTAAAATTTGACTGACAAAATATGCAGTCATAGTTAAACAATTATATAATTATCAAAGGACATAAAATTATTAGATGATATTTTAATTTTTTACGAAGTGGGTAGAATGAAAACTAAATGAAAAAAATTACCTCAGATTTTCAAGCATGATGTCACATTTGTGCACAACTCTTTCATTGACCTATTTTGGTTCTAAGTGTTGCATTCCTTTCACATGACCCACCACATCTTGTAATTTAACAAACAAATGTGATAAGATGATTAGAAACTGTTGAATGACACAAACACTAATGTTTTTACAATTATATATATATATATATATATGTCAATATATAGTATTACCTGTCAGTATATCAACACGATCCAACCGAGGATAAAGCATATTGTAGTCTTGTAAGAAAAATCTGTGGTGAAGAATGCGTGGAAACTCATTTGTAATTCTCTTGAAAACTGTTTTGTGCGTGAACACAGTTTGGCTATCATTTGGCACCACTATGTATTCGCCTTTCCTTCTATTGATGCGAAAATTTGTAATCTCATAGCAATTCCCAGCTTGGACTTTTGACGCTAAGACTTCATGGTCCATTTCTATTGAGCAGACTTCAATTGCATCTTGCTTTGCAATTCATCATATAAAAAAGGAAAAAGAAAAAGATGGGTCACAAATGTGATCAACAAACGAATGATAGTGCAGATTACATTTTGGCTCACATGATTGCGCATGTAAATACCAAACATTAAGCGCGGCATTACACAGTAAAAATTAAAACTAAATATCCAAATAAACATACCAAAGAAAACAATAATTTGTTCAATTGCTTATTACTTTTATCATCTATAATAAAAACCATTGCAAAAAAATTTCTTACCCTGTTGTGAACTAATATACAATGAAGTCCCATACTTTTTCCATCCATTCCTGGAATGTCTGGTTTCCATATTCTACAAATTCGAACTTTGATCTTTGCAGCTCTTCTATATGGCTGCAATTCTTGAATGGGAGTTAGAAATATGGTATCCATTTAACTTCATGAGATAAAATACAAATTTAGCAATAATTATTATTAAAATGTTAAAACGAATAGTTAAACAAAGAACAAATTTTCACACATGAATTGCATAATAACATGATTTGTAGTGCAATATTTTTTTCTCAGCAATTAAAAACATTCAGATAGCAAATTAAACTACTAAGGTCCTTTAATTACTTCACAAGCTATATGAACATTGATCGAATAAACTTTGTTAATTTAGTCTTAAATTATGAAAATGTATTGCACTCACAATTAAAAAGAACAAAACAATGAACATAAAAAATATAACGAAGACCATACTTTTTTTTACCACAGAAATTATCACAGGCAACATGTTCATGTTCATCATTTAGAAAAACTTGCCACAAAAAAATAGGAAGCAATTTTAATATTAGGAAAACTTGAGAACATTGAACCATTTTAATATAATTGTAATAAACATTGAGTTTAAATACATAGACACATAAACATAAAATTGAATTATCCCACTGCAATGCATGAAGTTTATTTATCCAAATAATTGACTGACTTCACTGCATTACCCCTTTTCTGAAGAATCAAAGACACCCTTCATCTTCTTTTGAAACACATAACAAAATCTCTAAAAAAAACAACCAAAGATTAAAAAAACAAAACCAAAATTTAAACATTGACAAATTACCCAGCTAATTTATACCACCTTTTTTTCATGAACTAAAAACACTTATCATGTTCTTTTCAAAACCGTAACATACCATCTAAAAAAGGAATCAAAAAATGAAAAAAGAAAACCAAAATTTAAAGATCGACAGACAATACTAACAAAAGCTGGCTATAAATACACATACACAGACGAAATAGAACTTCCATTTTAAGAATAAAATCAAAGAATAAATCTGAACGGTATAAGCAGATTGAAAACAGAGGAGACAACACACACACCCTTTCCCTTTAATCAAACCTTAACTAATAAGTTATGAATAAAACAACAGTCTTAACTATAGACGAAACGATGAAAAAAAATACATAAAACGTAGTTTGTGGCCAATGGTTTCCATGGTTGAGCAGATAAACTTCTGCATAAAAAAAAATTTTAAAAAAAATTCAAATCCAGATCTCACCCAACAGATGATCTTCACTTAACCGCAGAAACACTCGAGCTGCAAATAGTCTCTCCAACGCTAAACACAAATGTTTTCCAAAGCTACAAAAAAAAATTTAAAACTTGAATCCCCCAAAATAAAAAACAAAATCGAAACCCACAAACCTTTAAAAAAATGTTAAAAATGTGGAAAAAAATTCAAATACAAAATCTATACATGCATCTAAAATGAAAACAGAAAAATACAAAGAGTTACGTTAAAAAACACCCAAAATTTTGCAGGCAACGATATGTCCCCCAGCAAAAGAGATCCTCCCAAACCGAACGCGATGCGTCCCAGGAGCAAAAAGATCTAGCACGACCGAACCATGGTTTCTTAGCAACACACAACCTCTTAATCTCCAACTGCACGAAGATAAAAGGGCGTGAATGGAAAGAAAACGTAGTCTCAAACCAAAGAAAGCAACGGCAGTTTATGAAAGAAAGAAACAGTAGAAAATGACCACAAAGAGAAATGGGAGAGACAAAAATGAAAAAGCAACAAAAAGGCCAAACACCTGCCCAAAGGAGAAGTCGAAGCGATGATTGGAGACAATTCGACTGGAAAAAAAAAAACGCTGGCTTCGAGGGTAGGAAGGTCATTTTCTTGCAGCAAGGGAGAAAAGAAGCAGGAAGGAAGGAATGAGAGGGCAGCTTGAGGAGTTCACTGCTGATGACAAGTAACCCCTCTCACATGATGAACAGTGGACGGGAACTGAGTTTTAGTAGATAGTAATGCGGCTCTCATTTTTTTTTTCCTATCAGATTGATTTGTTTTAAGTGGTTTTCTTCGGAAAGATTTTTTACTGAGACCTACATTGCTCATGGTAAATGCCTAGCTTCTTGTTTTGGCATTGGAAGATGTATTTGCAGATAGGATTGATTTTTTGTGTATCTTTTATTTTTTTGGGTATGCTTCAAGATAATATTTAGGCAACGTGTATTTTAAAGACGCAACTTTAGTTTTTTATAGTCATATTTGGATTTTGTATTGGGCTATGTTATCTACGTATTCTTTTTTACTTTTTACACACCTCTTGTTAATTTGGGGTATGTTATCTTGCATTATGTTATAGTGTTTAATTAAAAAAAATACATCTATTCCATGAATCAAATGACTAATCACACCATCACCCGATCTAAATGCATATGTACTTGAGTCACCAAAACAAATCGACTACATAACGACATACCCTAAAATCCACACTAAAATCAAACTAAAAACTATAGTGACCTTTATGTTTGCATGGATTTGCAAAACCCATCCTCTAGCGAGCATCACCTTCGTACATTTCAAGCTTAGACACCATCTTGCCTAATAGAAATGAGGAACATATGACTTTTAGTTTAAACATATGACCTTGCATTCATATGTGTAGAAAAATGTCAAAAACAATATGTTTACCTAATAGAAATGAGGAACATAGGAAGAAAAAAAAAATAAGGAAAGAAAATCAAATGGACTGGCCTTTAGTTTAATTTAATTCCTAATTTTTAGGTATTAGATTATGAATTTTAAAGGAAAGCTAACATTTTACTGTATGTACAGCTAGAATGTAAATTGATTTTTGTATTTATATTTTAATAAATGCATGAAACTCAAGTACGATTCCAATTCTTTTTCCTATAAGTAAACATGTACTAATTAAAGTTATTTATCAACGTTTTCAATGAAATATATGATATTTTTACTCAAAATATAAGTGGGGTCGGGTTGTTATAGAACTTGCCATATATGAAAGTAATGTTAGGAAGATCACATGATTTTACTATATTTGTGTCTCATATGATGAGCTCAATAATGTTTACAATCAACATCTAATAAGATAAAGAGTTAAAAGATCGGGAACACTCTCTTTTTGATAAACATTTTGACACCCACCTTGTAAGGCCTACTTCGTAACTTTATTCAACAATCCAAACCATTCATAATTCACATAATTCATAGATCATCCTTAGAAAATATTAGACGAATCCATAACCATTATGATATTCATTTGTAGGGAAGAAAATTCACAAATACGGTTCTGCAAAGAAACTTTAAAATGAGTATAATTTAATCCAACGGTCATATGGTTTCAGATTGAGGTGATTTTTGGTACACATAATCTTTGAGGGAATACCTAAAATATAAACGGTTCAGACCGTTGAAAAACGTTACAAAATGAACCTTAAAAAATAGGTGTCAAAATATGTATAAAATTGATGTGTTCGGATCCTAACCATAAAAGAATTGAGAAGGAACTATTACCCCACTTGAAATGACCCTCTGCACTATTACCCAAGTAAAAAAAGTGGATGAAATTCTGTCGACGATAAGAGGTTAATTGTCTAATTTCAAATAGTTTTGGGGTTAAATTTATCAAAAATATTAATTAATTTAGGGGTCAATTTCATGTTGAGAAATAATTCAAGGTGAGTAATAATAATTCAAAGGGCAGTTAGCTGACATTTTCCACTTTGAAAAGTATAAACGGCGCTAAAAAGCCAAAAAGAGACTTAAGAGATCACAGTCCCGCATTTTCAGACTTCTCCCAGGAAGGAGTAGTATTCGATCCATGGCTTCCAGCTCCAGTCCTCAACGCATCTTCCCTCTGTTGTCTTTGATCCTCCTTCTCTTCTCCTTCTCTCCAATTTCCGAATCGAGCCACCAGGTATTCACTTTCCGTTTGGTTCCCGAGAAAATTAAAAAGAAATATCTCAGTCGTTTTGATTACTTTGTTATTTTAACGTGTTTCAGTTCTGTGATGCTGGAATTGGACATGGTGCGTCGACCTGTGGGGTTTCTTCATCGTCGTCATCGTCTTCTACGAAGCTGTTGATCAAAGGCGGGATTGTGGTGAACGCTCATGAGATGGAGGCTGCTGATGTTTATGTGGAGGGTGGAATCATTGTTTCTGTTAGGCCTAATATTAAGGTATAATAATATTTCAGTCTTTTTTTGTTTCTTTATTTGTAGTGTTATTTTTTTTCAAAATTGAAAGAACTTCATTGGTTGTTAATTATGCTGGCAGCCCGTTGACTTTGTGAACTTCATTTTTTGAGGGTTGAACTTGAATCTAAAACAATCTTCACCAATATCTCTTTTTTTTTCAAATCTTTTTGTTTTTAGTTGGGATATTGGGATTTTTCAGGTTTGGTGGAGATGCTTTGTAATTTGTATTGGCTGTTGGTTTACCAATTCCTTTGAACATGTTTCCAGCTAGTTCCTTTATTAGTTCTGGACTACTGAACCAATAGAATCCTTTGCTCCCGTTTTATTTTCGTGCCGATAAAGTAGGATAAGTTAGTGTGATTATAGGAGGAACTGTTAGCCTGTTAGAGTAAATTCATTCAACTAGTTTTATGGTGGGGACTTTAGGCACACTGGATATCGTTACTTCTCAACCCCCTTCTAAATCCGATGCTTTTTTTTTTTTTTTTCTTTTTACTTGTGATGTGCATCTGTATTTAAAGATGTATTTCTTAAGTTTTGAGTGAAATTTGATCTGGTTTTATTGTGGAAGTTGGTTGACATGATTATTCAAATTTGGGTGCGAGGTTGGTTCCTCCATATGTTCTAATTTCGCTTCTCTTTGTGCCCTAATATTTGACTCTAAATCAATGTGGAAAGAGGATGTAGGAGTGCATATAAGGGGCAAGCACTAAATCATTCCCATGTATCCTATAGACGTTTTTGTGAAAAATGTGAGCTGTATGCAAATCATTCTTCTGTAGCGTGTGAGAGAACATTATAAATGCTGATTTTAACTTATTTTCAGATACAATGTCATAACTCTAAAGAATTGATAACATCTAGAAAAAAAAAAATCATAAATTGTGAAATTGTTCCTAGAACAACCTCAGTAACTCTAGAATTTAGATTAAATCCTGAAAGTAGTTGTTATATAAATTATCCAAGATATAGTTGTTCCACTTACAATTCTAGAAAATGATGTATTGATTGCAAATTAAAATGAACAGCCTGTAATTACGTGATCTACATAGTACTCAGACTCACGTGGAGAACTTATGTATGTATATAACTTTTCATATGCTCCAAGCCTCCGAGTGTTTTATGTCCTTTTGTTTACTCTTCAGATTATTTTTTTCTTTCCTTTTCTTTATGCTGTACTTGATTTGATGCCATTGTTTTGCTCTGTTTTTGCTTTTCAAATGCCATTGGCAGGTTGGTGATGATGTTACTGTGCTTGATGCCACTGGAAAGTTTGTCATGCCAGGTCAGTTTTCATACTACACCTATGTAATAAGATTAAAGCATCTCCAATCATGAATGTTAAATATAATTATTTGTTGTTTAATATTGACAGGAGGCATTGATCCTCATACCCACCTAGGCATGGAATTCATGGGTACAGAAACTATTGATGATTTCTTCAGTGGTCAGGCGGCAGCATTAGCAGGTGGAACAACTATGCACATCGACTTTGTTTTACCAGTGAATGGAAGTTTATTGTCAGGGTTGGAAGCTTATGAAAAAAAATCTAGGGAGTCCTGCATGGATTATGGTTTCCATATGGCAATTACAAAATGGGATGAACATACTTCAAAAGAAATGGAAATAATGGTCAAGAAGAAAGGTTAGGTTCTTATAGTTCCAGGTTTTATTAAGTGGGCTTATTTATCGACTGTGCTATTTATGTAATACATCTATCTGTATTTCTATAATTATTCGTATCCTATACTCAGGTATAAACTCTTTCAAGTTTTTCATGGCCTACAAGGGGTCCTTCATGGTCAATGATGAGCTTCTGCTAGAAGGATTCAAAAAATGTAAGTCTCTTGGTGCGTTAGCCATGGTGCATGCAGAAAATGGAGATGCTGTATATGAAGGACAGAGAAGAATGATAGAACTTGGGATTACTGGTCCAGAGGGACATGCTCTTTCAAGGCCCCCAGTGGTAATTAGAGAAATAAATTATTCATGCAAACATAATTTGGATAAGACGAAAATTGCTCTATCAAATTTAAATATTAGTTAGTTTTGCATCATCTCTTTTCACATGGAACATTAGTTATGCTTTAAGAGTTAGTGCCGCTTCTGCATGGCCTTGTGGCAACATAAACGTACAATTTTATTAAGCTTATAGTTCAACAATCTGCCTGCCATACATTCCTGCTGTTTTTATGCTATCGGGTTTAACTTTTGTGTAAAGGATTTTGTTTGAGGGTCTTTCTATCTTTGAAAGACTATAACAAGATATGTACTTCTATATAATCCCTTTTCAGCTGCACGCGTAGTAGTTATTGTCTAAATACTGGTTCTTCTAGGTAATGAATATGAAATTGTATCCTTTTATGCTGATGTCATATTAATTGCAATTCATTTGGTAAATTTGTTCTTCCTATTTATGTGGTTCTTTTAGTTATCTAATAGTTATTTCCAAGTAAATTAATAGCACATGGTATGTGTTTGATTCAATATAATTGCCCATGTAGCTGGAAGGAGAGGCAACTGCTCGAGCAATTCGACTAGCAGGTTTTGTGAATACTCCCCTCTATGTAGTTCATGTGATGAGCATTGATGCTATGGAAGAAATTTCTAAAGCTCGCAAATCAGGTTCATAGTATCTAAAATTTTTTTGTTGCGTTAAATTTATCTTTCATTAGCTTTAGCGTTTTTCTTTTGTTTTGCAACTATATCTTGTTCTTGGTAACTAGAAGTTCTACCAATTGTTGGGTTTATATAATTAAATAAGATAAACGCTCTCCTATTTTCCTCAAAATTCTTACATTGGTTGCCTATGTAACTCTATAATGGCTCATGGTATTCAACCAAATTCATCTCTCTTTTAATTTTGTCTAAACCAAGTTCATTGTCTAACATGACTGTTTCAAGTCTAAATCATGTTCGATCATCCTTTACCAAAGTTCCATGATGTGATTTGGACCAAGTTGTTGAAAGGGTTCCATAAATAGTATGTTGCAGAGTTTATGTATCAAGCCAGAGTGCAATTTAGCAAGTGAAAAGATTTCTTATCTAAGTTGGTGTGGTTTTTGGAAAATTCCAACAAGTGACCATCATTATACTCGTCAATTTTGATATCTTCTTCTTCATCGTTTCCTAGATCAAAAAGCCAAAAAGATGGCTTAATCGAAAGAGTACAGTGAACAAACTAAGAAACAATTCGGAAACACATGCCTAATAAATAGAGAAGAAGCTCATTAAAATTGATTATTGTATTTTCTAAAAAAAAAAAAAAAAATTCCATTGGTTATTTTGAATAGGTCATTATGCACCCTCAAACTGTTAGTTTTGAGTTAAGTACTGAACGCGTGCTCCAAATGATTATTAAATGGCAGGGCAGAAGGTGATTGGCGAGACAGTACTTTCTGGGTTAGTGCTTAATGATTCTTGGCTTTGGGATCCTGACTTTATCACTGCTGCTAAGTAAGAGTTCTCTCTATTTAATTTATGTTATGTTCAGGTAGTCAAAGGTTCTACGTTAAGAACACTGGTCTTCTGATGTTTCAGGTATGTCATGAGTCCCCCTATAAGGGTAGCTGGACATGACAAAGCCCTTCAAGCTGCTCTTTCAATGGGAGTTCTGCAGGTTTATTTCTTATTGCAACCTTATTTGAGAACTGTCTGATTTGATCCACAGGGCCTCTTGGTACTGTAGTGATTTATTACTGTAAATAAGAAGACAAGTTTGTGGTTATCCCTTAACATTGTACTCAGAACCAGATTTTGACCTAATTTCTAACTCTAAGAGTACATATAATTTTCAGTTGCCTAAGTTTAATAGTGTACAAATTTGTTTTATGAAAATATGAATGTTTTCTAAAAGTAGATTTAGCAATGTGCAGCTTGTAGGAACGGATCATTGTACCTTCAATTCAACACAGAAAGCTCTTGGAATAGATGATTTCCGGAAAATTCCAAATGGTGTCAATGGTAGTCATGAAATGATCGTTGATGATGTTGTTTAACTAAGATATATGCTTGTTTTCTACCATAATTGTACTTTCTAATGCTTAACATGGTTACTGGAAATTAGGTATTGAGGAGAGGATGCATCTTGTATGGAATACAATGGTGGTAAGCTGCCACAAAATCTCATTCCTTCTAATAAGCAGCTTAAATTAGAATCAAACTTTTGGATAATATATATATTTTTTTCTAAATCCCAGGAATCTGGTCAAATTTCTGTTACTGACTACGTCCGGTTGACGAGTACTGAATGGTATGCTTGCTGTGGTTTTCTTGTTTATTATTCGAGTTGTGAACTTTTGAGATAAAGTATATTTTACTACATGATTTCCATTATGCTGTTTAAAGTATGTCAAAGTGATTTCAGTGTCAATGGTATTTCAGTGCTAGGCTTTTCAATATATATCCTAGGAAGGGAGCAATTCGCGCAGGTTCTGATGCAGATATAATTATACTAAATCCAAACTCAAGCTTTGAGATACATGCAAAGTCCCACCACTCTAGAACAGATACCAATGTCTACGAGGGATGGAAAGGGAAGGTAATCATTTTCACTTCACACGAGGGAGGGATATGCTTTTTCTAGAATATTATTTTAGAATTATAAAGCTAGTGATCCCTCTATGGGACACATTGGTTCTATGATCTACAGGCATGGATACATATTTCAGGTGTCTAATACTAGCAAAAGCAAAATTGTTCTGAGGTTTCTGACTTGACATAATGTTATATGTGTGTGGATATACTATATACATATACATTATTTGCGTGTCCAGGTAATGGATACTGTCAAATGCAATTTTACCAATTTGTTTGATGCCAAAACCAATATGTGATACAAAGAATTTTGACGTTTAACCTATACTGAAAATCAAGTTGGTGAGCCGTGTGATGGTAAACCTTCCCACACGGTTCGGAGAGAGAATTTTCCTTAAGTAATAAGATTCATATGGAAAAAAATAAGGACAAGAAAGTTGGTTTACTTGAGCTTTCAATTGCTCTGTGTTCTTTGCTTACTCAGTCCTTAGGCATAGAAGCATACCTATGGCATATGTATTTTTATTTGCCTTTTAATGCATAGATGTGATTGTACGCCCTTGACATCCTACTTTCCTGTTTATCTTTTACTTATTCTATCCCTACAAACAGCATCCATTTCTGTGAAGATATTGCATGTTAAGTACTTTAGTTTCTCAACTGCAGCATTCTTTCGTCATAGGAAGAGTCTTTAAATTATTATTAGAGCTCCAAAAATGTCATACTGCACTCCTCTTCACTTTATTTTTTTATTCTTAAGGAATGCATGATGACGTTTTAGGAGTTAAAATAGCAGCTCTGTTATTTTTCTTTATGAAATTACAACTTCCTACTCGAAGAGGTTCCAAGGAAGGTTATGGATTGTTATTTTTCTTTCGTAGTTATATGTTTCCCTGCATCACACTTCCAACTCCTTGTTTCCTTGTGTGTGGGTTCAGTTTTTCAATGTAGTATTTTCCTCTCAAGCCTCTCCATTTACTTACATATCATAATCTACCTGCATTTACGATTCAAGCATCTGCAAGAGCCAGACAAAATTTTTAGGCAAATTTGTACTTTGATAGCTGATGTGGCAATTTTGCTTGAACAAATCCTTGAAGTGATCATGTTCCACTTTCTCAGGGCAAGGTTGAAGTGACCATTTCTGGTGGAAGGGTTGTTTGGGAAAATGATGAATTGAAGGTTGTTCCTAGTTCTGGAAAGTACATAGAAATGCCGCCTTTCGGATATCTTTTTAATGGAATTGACAAGGCAGATGCTAAGTACCTATCTTCTATGAAAGCCCCTGTAAAGCGTTCTAGAGCAACTGTTTAAAAATTGCAGGTACTTTGACTATTTTCCTTTTCTTGTATTATTTTCTTAAACTTGATTAGAAATGGAGAAGATGCTCCTGTATATATCGCATTGTGTTTGAATAATAAGATCAAAGTTTTCTGTATCTTCATCGTATGTCATGTATATGAATTCGCTTTAAGGTCAATCAATAAGATTCTCACTGCAGTTTGCAGTTTGTGTATTTTACTGTTTGATTGATTTTGTGTATGAGGAATGAAAGAATTTTCAGTATGTGATGGCTGCAAGGCTGTGCAAAATACAGCAACTTGATTCCATTTGTATATGAGACTGATTAGGGTTTTGTTATATTGCCAACTCACAATCTTATCTCTAATTGAGCTAGACGGCGAACGTGTACTATCTTCATCACCTAACCAGTTTCCATATTTGATCCTAGCCTTATATTAAGGTTTTAAGGGATCTAATCTGGACTGTACACTTACACTTGATTAAAAGCTTAAAACTAGAAGCTGAAAACTAGTTGTTACATTTAAAACAAAAACTAGAAGCTTCCTTCATCATCGAACCTTCAATTCGAGGAACCAGAAGCAATTTAGGTTCCAACACTCCCCTCTAAATTGGTTATGGTTGTCACATGAGCAATCGCTTGAGGTAAGTGAATATGTCCTTTGGAAGTGGCTTGATGAATATGTTCTTCTGTCTTGCAGTAATGAAGCTCAATGATGTTTTCTTGTAATGTTTCCTTGATGAAATAATATCTTCTCTTGATGTGCTTTGTCTTTTGATGAAACATTGGATTTTTTGTCATAGTAATCGCAGAAGTGTTATCACATGGAAGAGGTGTGGCATCAATATGCAATTCACCAAAATCCTTGAGTATGAATCTCGTCAAATGGTCTGAGATGTTGCTTCTAAGGCACTCGCATACTCAGCCTCTATAGTAGATAGTGAAAAACTTTGTTGCTTAGCTGAGGTCCATGAAAATACACCTGAGCCAAATGTAAAAGCATACCCAGATATGCTTTTGCAATCATCTTCACTACCTTTCCAATTACTGTCACAAAATCCAATTAGGATCGTTGACTTTCCCATTTCATGTTTGATTCCACTGGATCCTTGAACATATCTTAGCACCCTCTTAGCAGTTCCCATGTGAATTTTGGTAGGATTTTGCATAAATCTTGAGAGTATGCTAGTTGCAAACATCAAGCTTGGTCTTGTTGCAGTTAAATACAAAAGACTGCCAACAATGCTTCCATATATATTTGAATCAAAAGGTTCACTCCCATCATCCTTCATGAGCTTCTAATTTGCAAATAGAGGAGTGGACATAGGTTTACATTCCTTCAATCCAAACTTTTAAGTAGCATGTGGGCATAATTTTTCTAATGAATAAAGATGCCATTTGACTGTTGTATTACCCCAATGCCAAGAAAATGATGCAAGAAGCTTAGGTCATTCATCTCATCTCATACCTCTTCATCATTTTTACCTTGAATTATGCAATCATTGCTTCATCGTTTCATCATTTTCAATGTAGACTACGTTATCCACATATCAACATAGATTGACACAATGAGGGTTCTTGAGTCACTTCCAGATTTGGTGTAGAAAGTGGCTTCATTTGGACTCTTTTGGAATCTTTTCTCAATGGAATAGGAACCAATTTCACTGTACCAAGCCCTTGGAGTTTGTTTTAGGTCATAGAGAGCCTTCTTCAATTTGTAAACTTTGTTAGGATTCTCTTCAATTGTGAGACATTGTGATTGTTCCACAAACACCTCTTCTAGCACTCCATCTAAGAAAGCTAACTTCATATTGAGTTGATGTAGCTTCTATCCTTTTTGAGTTGCCAAGGCAATCAATGTCCTTATGGTATCCAACCTTGCTACCAGAGCAAAGGTTTCATTGAAATCCACACCAGGCTTTTATGAGCAGCCTTTAACTACTAGTTTGGCCTTGTTCTTTTGCATTAATTTAGCTTGTTCTTGTAGACCTACTTTACTCCAATCACTGGCTTGTCACTTGGCCTATTAACCAATTCCCATGTCTCATTCTTTTCTACCATTGATAGTTCCTCTCTCATTACCTTTTACCAATATTTATCTTTCTCAACTTCCTCATAAGTCTTGAGTTCAACTACATAGTAGTTACTAATAGATTATATCTCCTCCAAATTTCTCATTCTTATTGGAGTTAAGCTTGGCTCTCACTCTGCGGTTGACTTTGTTGTGGACTTACACTTGCTGGTTGAGGTGTCGTTGGTGATGAACATATTCCAGGACTTCTTGTTCAATTTATCCATTTTGATTGGATTCCATTCCATTCAGATCAAATTATAGATGGAAATTTTCTTTCTCCTCTATACTTGTTTCCCAATTCCATAGTGCTTCTTCATCAAATATCACATATCTTGAGAGATTTTTTTTTTTTTTTTTGTCATCAGGTTGAAAAGTCTAACCTTTCTCACTTGTTACGAATCCAGCAAAATGCTCTTGTTGCTGGACTTTTCTAATTTGTGCATTCACTATGAAAGTACATAAGCAAAGCATATTGAGTCAAGTACTATTAGCTGGTTGATTGTTGTTTTTTTTCCACTAAACATTCCAAATGGAGTTTGTTTGTCAAAGTTTTGGTAGGGTACCTAGTTAAAAGATACAGAATAGTGTTTACTACCTCTCCCAAAATAAATAAGACAATTTCTTCTTATGTAGCATATACTTAGCCATTTCAACTATAGTCATGTTCTTCCTTTCTGTAAGACATTTTGCTATGGTGAATATGCAATTATGAGTTGCTTTTCTAGGCCCAAATCTAAATGAATGAGTTGAATTCCAGTGAGGTATGTTTATACCATATTTAGTGCCTCCGTATTTAGATCTCGTACAAATACTTAGGGGACTTAAATGTAATCATGTGATAAAGGAAGGGGCAAATATGTAATAAGTGAGGAGCCCTTATTCTATAAAAGGACTCATCACCCTCACAATTAGAAGAGGCCATTTCTATAGCCTTCTCACCTCTCTCACCCCCTCACAGAGCTCTCACTCTTAGAGCTCTCTCTCCCTCACTTCTCAGAGAAATACAATACAATCAGTGTGGACGTAGCCTAAACCTTGGGGTAAACCATGATACATCTTGTGTTATTTACATTTCTACAGATTCACGATCGGATTTACGTTGTACCAAGACCTTCGGTTTTGTGCATTCAACATTTGGCGCCATCTGTGGGAATCGACACAAAAAACTATGTCGGTTCTTTTTTATTTTTTCACCTCTACCGTGAATCTGCAAAATCACAAGACCTAGAACCAGAAATGATCCGCTGGTTCATCTTCTTAAACGTATCAGTTTCTCTCTCTCTCTCTCTCAACGACGTCGTTTCGAGATTGACAGCAAGGAAAGAAAAAAGCAAACTGGCCATGGACGTCCTCCCCTGGGTTCCAAGACTACTGGCTCCAGAAGCGCTTCCAAGATCCCCAAAACGACGCCGCCACTCACTGAAATTCGCTCGAGCCCTGCGCCCTTTTGTTTTCTGCTGCACCGGAAAAAAACATGCATAGCCGGCCGTCGCACAACCGGCTATCCGGCTCGGCTTTTCACTCTCGGATTGCAGCTCTCTTGCTCGCCATGGTCTCCGCCATCTACGTTGCTGGTCGATTGTGGCAAGAGGCTGCCGATAGGGTTTATTTGATTCAGAAGCTGGATAAAAGAAATGGTTATTGTTTTTCTGCTATAGCCGTAGACGACACACTTAAAATTATAGATTGCAGGTACATTGATCCAATCTATTCTTTGACATCGCCACCGATACGGTCTCTCCATCTTCAATGGGCGAAGAGCAAGTACATCTTTAAGATGACGCATCTAGTCGCATCCATTGCCTCATCCGCTACTATCCAACCCTCGTAACGCCAGTGGATTTCCAGTGGTGCCAAATTGTCCAATGACTGTAGGTCCAGCTGCCTTGCCAGTTCCCATTGAGAATCCTACGGAAAATCTAGCTCTACGACAAGGAAATCACGAGAATAATGCCTTGGCTGTGGGTGCAGCTCTTTTTAATGCTACTAAGCAGTGATTAAATGGGGGTGTGCAGTTTTGGAAGATTGTTTGAACGGGTCGGAGTTGGCAGGAGGAAATGATTGTTCATGGCACTAGCAGCAAGTTGTTGAACCTCTACCCTGCCATCAGCCAAGCGCTCTACATCGCCTTGGAAGCTGATCCACGGAAATGAAAAGAAAAAGTAAAGCAAGTTTGCCAGAAAGGATGGAGGTGGAAAGACAGAGATGCAGTAGGAAACAAAACAAAAGCAGAAAAGAAAAAGGAAAAGAGAAAAGAAGAAAAGCAAAAGATATTCCTATTATTATGATGCCTTCTGTCTGCCAGGTGAAGAGACAGAGAGAGTGCAGCAGAAAAACACAAGCAAAAGCAAGGAATAAACACCCCACCAGAATGATGTGGTTTACTTTCCTTATTTTTTAATGATGTAATATATTTTTCGTATCTTTTGGAGACATCTGTATAAACCCCATCAGAGGGTAATTAAAAAAAACGGCAAAGCCCAAAATAAATGGGCTGGAATGTTGTGTAGAGAGCGAAGGCCCATAAGCCCAAAATAGCTCCAACCAGGCGATCAAGAGTACGCCAGTACTCCAAAATTATTCGGCAACCCGCTGCTATTACCACCAACCAGGTGATAAAGTGTACAACCTGTACTCTAAATATCATTTGGCAACTAGCCATTCATGCCACCAACCAGGTGATGAAATGTACAACCCGTACTCTAATATCATTTGGCAACTAGCCATTCATGCCACCAACCAGGTGATGAAATGCACAACTTGTACTCTCCTTCGTGCCACCAACCAGGTGATCAAAAATACGCCCAGTACTTCAAATCATACATGAGCATTACTCATGTCAATCATACATAAACATTCATGAGCATCACTCATATCAATCATACATAAACATTCATGAGCATCACTCATGTTAACATTCATAAGCATCACTCATGTCAACATCCATGAGCATCACTCATGTCAATCAACATAAACATTCATGAGCATTACTCATGTCAATCAGCTTCAAAAGCTTCATTTACAAAAACTGTAGCTTCTAAAGCTTCATTTACAGAGCTTCACCTACAAAGCTTCACTTGCAAAGCTTCACCTACAAAGCTTCAGTGCAGGGTATACAAATATCGTCTTCGAACAACCGCCACTTCGGCCCATACATGGACTCAATTTGAAGTCTCCAGCCAACAGACTTTATTGACCAAAGACTTAGGGGACTACATTATGTACCATATATTGGGCCTCAACTGGGCTTCATGAAAAACACTTGGGGGACTTAGCCTATTATTTATGTATTAAGGAACGAGCCCTTATTTTATAAAAGGGACTCCCTCACTTTCATTAGAGAGCACACATTATTCATGTATTGAGGAGCGAGCCCTTATTTTATAAAGGGGACTCCCTCACCTTCATTAGAGAGCAACGCCGCCAACTGAGCAACCACCTCGCCGCGAGCATCACTCATAGCCCATCACTTAAGTATTGAGGAGCGAGCCCTTATTCTATAAAAGGGACTACCTCACCTCCATTAAAGAGCATCGCCGCCAGCTGAGCAACCGCCTCACCGCCAGCATCATTCATAACCCATCACTTATGTAGTGAAGAGCGAACCCTTATTCTATAAAAGGGACTCCCTCACCTTCAAAGCCACAAGCCGAGCCAATGAAGGCAACATAAGCCACGAGCCGAGCAGCCTCGCAATATGTACTACTTCTAGTTGAGCATCATTTCAGATTGAGCACCGCCTCATATCGAGCATCAGCTCAAGACAACATCTAGTTACTTCGGCCCACACATGGACTGAATTTCAAGTCTCTAGCCAAAAGACTCTCTTAACTAAAGACTTGGGGGACTACTGTTTATACCATATTTAGGGCCTCCGTATTTAGATCTCGTACAAATACTCAGGGGACTTAAATGTAATCATGTGATAAAGGAAGGGGCAAATATGTAATAAGTGAGAAGCCCTTATTCTATAAAAAAACTCCTCACCCTTACAATTAGAAGAGGCCATTTCTGGAGCCTTCTCACCCCACTCACCCCCTCTCAAAGCTCTCACTCTTAGAGCTCTCTCTCCCTCACTTCTCAGAGAAATACAATACAATCAGTGTGGACGTAGCCCAAACCTTGGGGTGAACCACGATACATCTTGTGTTATTTACATTTCTGCAGATTCACGGTCGGATTTACGTTGTACCAAGATCTTCGGTTTTATGCATCAACAAGGTATATTCACTTCTCTTATCACTCATTATCTTCTTGATTTGATGTCCACTTTGCAATTTTACTATGGCTTTGAGCTTTTTGAAAATTTTGAACACTTATGATCTGAATCTCATGAAGACTCAACACATTCTTTAGTAATCATCAGTGAAAATCAAGAAGTATTGTTTCCACTGATAGTAGTATGCATAGGACCACACACATCAGTATGAATCAATTCCAGTGGTTTTATTGCTCCCCATGCTTTTCCAGCTTCAAATGGATCTATGTGATGCTTCCTAAACACACCCTTCACAGGTTTTACTGATTTCATCCAATTGTGATAGCCCTTAAACTATTTCATACTTGTGTAGATTGTGGTAGCTATTGTTCTCTACTCTGGCACAAAACACATTTGCCTTTTCCTCTACTTAATTTGCGCAGTTCACTTGTCGAATGTTATTTGACTTGCAATCCTTCATTACATGACCAAATTTGTTGCACTGATGACACTTAGACTTACCTTTGAACCAACATTCTCCAAAATGGAGTTTGTCACAAAACTTGTACACATGTTTTTCTTTGCATTTCCATTGGTACTACTACTATTGTTGGGCTTTGCATTTACATTGCTTTTTCCTTCCCACTTTTTGTTCTTGCCCTTCCATTGTTGCTTATGTTTGTCATATTAGAGGGACTCCTAAATCCTACATTAAGTCATTAAAATGTCATTTCAGTGGTTGCATCAACATACCCTTCAAGCCTTTGATCAAAGGCCCTCAAAGATACCATCACATCTTATATATTGAGATCATCAGTGTCTTTGGTTTCTTCAATCATACTCACTATTGAATCATATGGTTTAGTCAAACTAATTAGTAGTTTCTAGACAATTCTTCATTAGGAACATCTTCTCCATGGGTTTTCATTTGATTAACAACATCAAACAGTCTACAAAAGTAGTCCTTCAGTAGTTCATTTTCTCTCATGCATATGTATTCAAAGTCACATCTAAGAAATTGAAGTTTTTCCTTTCTAAGTTTCTTATCACCTTTATATTCATGTTGAAGACATCCCAAACATCTTTTGCAGTTTCTTCATTGGCTATTATGGGAAACATCAAATCTGAGACAACCTTTATATGATTCCCAAAGTTCTAGCATCATTCATCTCGTCCTCTTGCAATGCAGCCTTCTGTGTTGTTGAGATCCCTTCTCAATGGCATCAACTTCTACTGCCAGTAACTCATAACCATACTAGACCATATCCCAGAGCTCATAGCAGTTGAAAATAGTGGTCATCCTTATCCTTCAAAAATCATGGTTTTCCCCATCAAACGTTGGAGCTTTTAGCTCATTGCTATTTGATCATTTCATTTTTGGATTTGAGGTGTTTTCAAGGGTTTCAAGCACTGCCAGAAGGTTCCTAAATGTTCACAGCAACACCCAAATAGAATAATGATCAGGAACTTAGCAACGAGGCCATGATAATGTTTATGATTTTTGTGTATTTTACCGTTTGATTGATTTTATGTATGAGACCGATTGTGAGAGTTGTGGTACATTGCCGACTCACAATCATATCTCTAATTGAGCTAGATGACAAATATGTACTATCTTCATCACCTAACCAATTTCTTAGGTCCCAACAAGGAGGCAATGCTCGCAAGTTGGTAGAGTCAGATTACATGCTTGTTTGAGTTGTTGTCACAACATTTGAACAACTTTTGCTTTGTACTTGAGATGTTGTGTCCGTTGGTTTAGGTTGTCTTTGGGTTTTTTTGTGTTTCTTCTGTTTTTTATTATTTTTGTTTTAATGTTGAAATATGATGATTTTATAAAGTTAGAGACTATATTTGACTCCACTAAAAGATGATGCTTTAGGTTTGGGAGATTATTACATCCTTTTATTTATTTTTCTTGGTTCAGACGATGGATAACTAGTAGCAAGATGCAACAATACATGGTAAACAGTAAATAGAATGTATAATAATATTATTAATATTAATATCACACTGTACTGGGAGATGAATAAAGCTGTTGATTAGGTTTTCATTTGACAAACGGGTCTTATCGTCTATAAGACTACATCATGATGATGTGAATAAATTAATGATTACAAATGGCAGGCAGGAATTGATGATTTGCTTGCCTTCTTAGGAAATCAAGGCCTAATACAGCAATTTATGTAAGTCAGAATCGTCTTTTTCCTCTGCATAAAAATATAAATATAAATACAATTAGAAGAAAAAAGGTATATAATTTTTTTATCATTTTATTTTTAGCTTCTCACACACCCCTGTTAATTTCTATCTGTGTATATCGTTTGATTTATTTTATTCAATTGCCAAAAATTAGAAAGGATGCGTGAAGAGTTAAACAGGGTGTGTGAAAGTCGCCTCTTTTGTTTTCTTTTCCTTCTGAACTGAATAATGTGTTATGTAAATCATGGACTAGAATGGAATGCTCTACCTTGTGATGATCCATGTGCGTTTATAGGGGATATGGATCAAAACAAGGTGAGCATGGAATTGTGAAGAACACTCACTTCAGTTAAAACAAAAAAATAGCCAAGTACTGAAAAACGAGCGTCTTACCGTAACAGAGTCATCTTGGTGATGATGATGAGGATGATGAGGGTGAGCAGCCATGAATTCCTGTTCATTCCCAAGGCTGTTACGCTTGAACTCGGTCAAGTTGGTCTTGTTTTGCTTCCGGTTAGCACGAGCCTGAGAGAACACAACGGTGTAGTTTGTATCTGGGCTGTTCTGATCCCATCCTCCGAATTGAGGTACAGACTTCCGACCATTTTTCTGCAAATGCATACATGTTTTTAGCAAATGGAATTCTTATAATGTAGCTAGAGTAGTAAATGCAGGCGAAATTACATAAATAGGTAAGATGGCTCCTTGACCTTGCATTGGTAAATAGTTAACATCCCCTTGGTAAAAACACGTTAACCATTTACCAATACAAGCTCAAGGACATGGAAGCCCCCCGCACAAGGGAACAAAATAAAAATCACACTTCTCTTATGTCACTGGCTACAACTGAAAGAATACCATCTGCACAAGAAAAACACAATTGAGCTTTCTTCAAAATATTGCTCGAGGGTAACAAGCTTGAATTCATTCATCAAAAGACATCAATTAGAATATATTGCACGATGAACGAAAAAGTTAGTAAGAGGGAGCGTCGCAAAATGATTGTTTTGGAGCACTAATACATTTCTTTTTTTTTCTTTTAAGTTATGCGTCTCATAGACCGCATATAGTGCAGGATTCATAACCCACCATTTTCGTTTCTCCATGTTTACATGTAACGACATATGCATCTATAGTAAAAGAAAGATGATTGAGCTTATATCATCCTCTCGTTTACACATTAGATTATCATCCTCTTGTTTTATAGAAAAACGGTCAAATGAACATTAAAAAAAAAAAACAGCTTTGACTTCAATGGGGAATTTGTACAGAACTTGCAATTAATAGATCAATGTTCTTCGTAAATTTCAATAAAAATAAAAAGTAAATATTGAAAAATGGAAAAGAAAAGAAGAAAACAATGTATGAACCCTAAACAAAGAGGAATATGATGATTTCAGCAATTGGAGTTGTTGGCTTACCTCCTCCCGGTGACCCATGTAATCCTTGAAGGAGAGGTAGAGACTTCTGCTAAAAAAAATGCTTGGTAAATTTTCACAACTTCTTACATTATATATCTCTCTAACTTAACAAGTTGATAATTATTTGAATTACTTGGCGACACATGATTGGATGATGACAAACAAGTTATTAGTCTGACCATTTACCATCCTTGTTTTTTCAGTTAGAAACATATGGTAAAGGTAAACTAGTAAGAAAGACAGGAAGAGAGAGAGAGAGAGAGATGTTAGGCCACAAAACATGGTAACCAGAAAATCTATTAAACAGAAACAGGCAATGGATGGTTACAACAAACGATATTCTATTTATGAAAGTTTGATTTCAGTTTACTTGGAAGGTTTGATCCTTTGACTAAGACATAAAATATGGTGACCCAAAAAGTTCAAAATGCAAATCTTCAAATTAATAAGATTAGCATGCAATGAGTTTGTAACTCAAGTGGTTAAAAATATTTTCTTCGCATTCTTCAATGCACATATTGAATTGTGTTGTCTAGCCATGCTATCTCATGTGTGCTAAGTCCTTATTAGTGGGAGTACGACTAAAGAAAGTGTACTACTAATAGCAAGTTTGATTAAAACGTATTGGAGTAAAACTTCTCATTCATCCTTTTGTAGATTGAAGAGACGTGAAAATTTTGTTCGACTATAGGTGTCGATCAATTGATACATTACACATGAGATGCTATGGAGTTTGATCGTGTTCTTAGAAACTTCTTAGTTTATCCTAATGGGACTTGCATATAGAAGTCCTTGGATGTCACCATATGGGCCACTCCTGAACTCAAGGACATCTTGGAAGCGAAAGAAATAACTTCAGACTAGGATATACATTTCAAGTATAATGAGAGAAACAATAAATTTTCCTATATTGTTGTCTCATTAATTGACAAGACTTTTGTGAAGACTATGAAATGCTATGGCATTTGATGAGAGAAACAAGAAATTTTCCTATATTGTCGTCTCATTACAATTAACAAGACTTTTGTGAAGCACTATATCATGATATGCGACCATAAATTTTTGTCTTACGTGAGTTGAAAAAGATTCTACAACGCACTTGATATTAATATGAGCGATCATAAAATAACTTAGAGTTAATTATGTTCATTAAGCAAACTTCTGAACATACTCATGTGATTAAATGAAGAGAGTTCTTTAATATCACTGTTGGACCATTGCCCCCCTTCTCTACTAGTCACCGATATCCCTGTTAGCACTCCAAACCGGGAGGTCAACAAGACTAGTATGGTTAACATTGATAGGCTCAAGCTAAAGATTTAGATGGTTGACAACATGGTTTACGTGGTCCATCTTCAAAATTGGGCTACATCTAATGTAATGATTTGTATATATGTTGGATACAGATTACAAAGATTCTTTAGAACAGAGAAATGTTTCTCTTTCTTTGTGTCCGCCCCCCATAGGAGGTGCTTGTCCCTCTTTATATAGGCCGTCAGTGGGACCAAAAGAATTGGCCCTCAAGTGCTCCACTGCCTTTGCATTAAATGAACTGGACATACAAAACTAACCTATTGCCTATTCCTCCACCGTACAATCGACATGTGAAAGTGAAGTGACATTTGTTCAGGACTGATTGCAAGGTTCCCTGTGCCAACATGTACTGAGGCATCGCTCGCCCTGAGTGGCTGAGGAAGCATCATCCCGAGCACTTGATCTGACAACCTTTATGTCATTTTGTAGGCCTCTATTCTTGTTGATGGCCAACGCGTGGATTGAAGCTGATGTTCCAGTAGGCCTGTCTCTAGGGCTGTGTAGTAAAGTTCTCAATTTTGCCAACTTGTTTCAAGTGGTTGGAAAGTATTTTTTGGATAGGTGCTCATCTTCTTTGTCGATAGTTAGACTAGACATGCAAGTGCTCGTTTAAAAGCGCTCGTTATTCTAATCTTTGCGATGGTGCTATGTTGTCTGGTACCATTCAGCTAGTTCACAGGCCCAAGGCTTTGATCTTCTTCTCTCGTAGGCCTTTCTAAGCCCATGATAAAGGGCCGAACTTACAACTATATATTATTTTAGGGTCTAAAGGGACCCTACATTAACAATCCCTTAAGGATAAGCAATGGAAAGAGAGAGAAAGACACCATAGTATAAGGTGATGCTCCTAGAAGAGAAACAAACCTATATTGCCTAACTCACTGTAGAATTCAAGCTAGCCATAGACTTAGAGGCTAGGTGGTGTAGCTTGAATTCAAAGACGAAGCTCGGAAGATCTTACAAATACTAGATAGCCCAAAAAATGAGGAGCTATACTCCAGTGCAGAAATGATATTGCCCCTAGTCTATGTTGATGGTCCCTAATATAAGAAGGTCTTTTTTTTCTGGTCAATCAAAGTAAATTTCATAGAAAGAGAAAGCTATAACAAGGTAAGAGCACCTCAATAAAAAAGAGTCTAAAAAGGCCAAGCAAAAGCGCAATTCCATTACAAAAAATTACAATGAAATAGGCCCAAAGTAAGCAGCCCATAACAACTAACAAATAGAAAAATCTAGACAAGAAAATGTAAAGCAGCCACCTTCACCAAAACAGCCGTACCAGCATCGCAGATGCATTGCCACCGCCTGAAAGAATGGCCAAATAACTAAAAAGATGAATCGAAAATGGGGACAAGCAAGCTATCCACGCTGAGAGTGCTCCCATAATCCTACCAAATAGTGCAAAATGCACTTTAAATGCTACAAACTAGCAAAGTGCACCTCCAAAGGAGATCCTAGGAGGAGACACATGACGAAACGAGCAGCAAGCGATGTGTGGAAAGGAAGAAGGCATAGAAAGCATATTTGAGATAAACTCAAGGAAAACTGAGACCAAGCTTAGGGCAACCTGAGACACAAAATGCTTGGAACGAAAACAACTGAAATCTAAATGCATTAAAAGAAAAACCAAATCACCATGAGAACGGAAAAACTGGGTGGGGGGGGGAACTGAGACCAAGCTTAGGGCAACCTGAGACACAAAATGCTTAGAATGAAAACAACTGAAATCTAAATGCATTAAAAGAAAAACCAAATCACCAACCATGGTGATTTGGAGAATGGAAAAACGGGGGGGGGGGGGGGGGGGGGGGGGGGGAGGGAGGGAGTTGGAGGAAAAGGTAAGAACCAAAAAACAATGAGATATGGGGGGTAGGGAAGAAGAAAGGGGAAGAGGGAAAAGGGAGAGGAGGGGGGGGGGACACTAGGTTGCCGCCAACCCCAAGTTGAAGCAAGGGGTCGATGGCCAGAAGGCTTTCAAAAATTAGGTTGTTTTGAGAGAGAAGAGGGAAGGCTTTTAGAGAGAGGTGAGAGTTTAATATGGGAAGATCTAAACATGTCGTTTCTCCAATCGTAAATGATTGTTCCAATCAGAATTGCACAAGAAGGTGCAGCCTAGAGACACGTCTTAAGCAACTAGCATGGTTAAAACTATAATTAGAGTTGCTTCTAACATTATGATTGACGTTTAGTGGCTCATTTCATACATGAATCGAAATGATGCAGGAAAATCTTTATTATATGTCATCGGGCTTTGAATTGGTTCACTCACATGAACGATTCCCATTGGCACTTTGAGATGGCAAGCAAGTTGTGACATTCATGTTATGAACGCATAGAGTGCACAAACATGTCCTGGCCCAGGGAATGCATCTGAACACGTGCATTACTTGGTACAACAAATAATGCACAAATATTATCTGATATGTCGCCTTAGAGAGATAACTAAGATGAGACCTTATGGTGGACAAGGTCAATCTGAAGTAATTTGTGTATTAAGTTTCCATGACTCCAAATAGCCTAATTATAGCCGAATGTGAGTTGTCTCAGGTGGGTGCCGAGAGGGCATTTATGCTAGAGATGCAGTTCAGGTGTTGGCATGCCATGAGACAAAGACTCGTATAGTGTACTAGTGTGTACTAGTGTCTGTTTCAAACAAAGTGACATGCTCATATTTGAAGTATGAGAATATGTCATATCATACATGTTGGAGACTAGAGTCAGAAACTAAAATAGTAGGAGTAATGAATAAATCCGTTCTTCACTACTGTGTGAGCCATTAGATTTTCGAATCCAATATTTTTACCCTTTGGACTAAAGACTGTCAGAAAGAGGATACTTGACGACTACTACTTTGGCGTATTTATTAATGGACGGTCAACAATCATTACCATCCAAGGGGGTGTGTATGGAAAAGCGGTCAAGTCGAGTCGAACTGACATGAGTGCTTAAAGAAGACAATTTGTCATAACACCATAAAACGAATTTTGAGTTTTAAGAATTAAAGTGATGACTTTAAAATTACAGGTATAAAATAAGATCAAGTCGGGTTTCTGATGCATAGCTAAAGATAAGCCTCGTTTTACCACAAGGAGTAACCCTCACACCTCCAATTATGGATACTAGACTAGTCAAGTAGTAGACCATGGAATTTGTACGTGTTGGTGAGCGATTGGTTTGAAAAATGGCTGCTGAGTGGTGGAGGCTGCTTTGATAACAGAACCCTCAATCTGTTAACCACCAATGAACGTCACCCTAACGGCTACCTTTTCTGGTTATACGGATTTTCCTCCATCTCCCAACTTGAGAGAGAGAGAGAGAGAGAGAGAGAGAGAGAGAGAGAGAGTTTGTTCAATATCCACACAAATGAAAAAGGCACCAGAAAGCTATTTAAGGAAAACCTCCAATAGTCAATTATATAAGACTTTTTTTTGCATTTCTTCCTCTTTTCTTCTTGTCAACTACCTGTTCGTTAATTTGTGAAAGAGAGAGAGAGAGAGAGAAAGGGCGCTTGAGAGGGTGGGGGAAGATTCTTAAAGAGTTTCTGATGAAGAATATGTTGAACTGATCCTCCTCACCAAGTTCAGTTCTTCATCAGAAACCCCCCCTATTATCTTCCATCTTTCACTTCCACCCCCTCCTGGGCCTCCTCATCTCCTTCCGTCCTTATCTTTCATTTCTTTTGGGTGGTGGGGTTTCACCTAATTTTCGGTACAATCTCCACAACAACAACAATCCAGATCTGTTTGTTGCATTATTTTCTTTTCTTTGTTCCAAAAGAGAATCTGAGGATTTTGGAGATATGGGTCTCTGCATCTAGACTTATCTTAACATTTAACTTTTCTTATCCCTGAAGGCCATCTGAGGACCCCATCTCCATTAGCTTCTCTCCTCCTTCCTCCTTCCTCCTTCCTCCTATCCTTGAACGCCATCTGTTTTAGCTGTCTGTACGGCTGGGGTCCTTACCATTTTCTTTCTTTTCCACTGAGCAAACCATTTGCAATATTTGGCTTCCTTTCCTTTTCCTTGTTGCAGTGCCATCGTTTTTTTCATTCATTCGTTGCATGTCATACACGAAAAATCTCTTGTTGGATTGGATTGGCTTAAGGCGAGTTATACGTTAGTTGGTTTGTTGTTTTCGGAGGCCCACCGTTGGGTTTTGGTGGGCTTCGTGGGAACCAGTTAAAAACCATCTATTCAAGATCACCATTTATGCCGACCTTGAATTTGAGGCCGCTTATAAATTTGTGATGCTACTTTACTTGTTCATAACTTGCCTCTCCCTTGTCTTTTTCTGGAAAGACTTGTCCTTCTTTACCCTCTCCAACTTCGCGAAGCAAGGCATTTCGATTCCCTTCCGCCCTCGAATTCCTTCCAGAATGTCCCTCGTGAGGAAAACTCTATCCCTTTCTTCTTCCAAAGTTGAGAATGTTGACGACTCACTGGAGACGTCTGTGTTGGACTTGCCGGAATTGGTGTTGGAATGCATTCTCGAGAAGCTTCCTCCCGACGCGCTTTTTCGAATGGCGGGTGTTTGTTCTTCTTTGAGGGAGAGATGCAGGAGCGATCACCTTTGGGAGAAGCACATGAAGCAGAAATGGGGCAGAGTGATTGGCCCTGCTGCTTACAGGGAGTGGCGGTGGCATATTGCTTCCAAGACTGATGTGATTGACTTGAAGCAGGGAAAGCAGAAAGGCCTCATGAGAATTCTCTCTCTTGGTTGGCCTTTCTCATGGATCAGATCCAAGGTTGATGATCTCGGAAGCAAGCAGAGGTCTTGTTTGCCAGCTGATTCAATCATGTCTTGGTACCTTGCTCTTGAGACTGGCAGGTTCTGGTTCCCCGCGCAGGTCTATAACCGCGAGGTATGTAATCTATCAACTACGATTTGCCAATATGTTTCGATTACAAGAGAAACAAGAAATAAAACATGCTGGGATTTGTTGTGTTCATTAATTTGGCTTCATGTTTGTTTTGTGTTACAGAATGGGCATGTTGGTTTTATGTTGTCATGCTACGATGCTGAGCTTAGCTATGATCCCCGCACTGACACCTTCCAAGCCAGGTAATTCGATTTACACCCTTGATTGCCTTTTCTTATTCCTTATGTATTGTTTTGTTGTTAGCGTTTTGGTTGCGGTGAGTTGATGAGGGTGATCTGAGATAATAAATTGAGGAGGGTTGTTGATTTCTTCAGGTATCCGCCGCATGGAAGGAGAGCAGTTGCGATTGAGGACGCTGTGCCATGGGAAAGGCTTAGAGCGCCGCCTGTTGACACTCCGGCTCATGATCTTCACGTCTCCGACTGTTTGAATGAGTTGCGGCCCGGTGACCATATAGAGATTCAGTGGAGAAGAAACAAAGAGTTTCCTTATGGTTTGTTTCTAATTTTTTTTTTTACCAATTTTTTATTTTTTTTTGTCATAACCAATTAAGTAATTTATTTACATTCATCGCGGTGTAAAGTATGTTGGTTTTTGGATAGCGGACAACCCGAAGATAGTATGTTAAATGAATCATTAAATTGTTATAATTCATTTGGTTGTATTGCAGGTTGGTGGTATGGTGTAGTAGGTCACCTGGAATCGTGTGATGGAAATGAAAATTACTGCCTTTGTCATAATAGTGGTGAGTAGATTTCATTCTTCTATCTCACCCCCTCCCCTCTAAAGGATTGGCAAGCATGTGATCTAAAATTGATTTTTCTGTTGCTGTTAGGGGAGTGACGTTCTAAGATTCATACGGCCGACTAATTATTTAGTAAGATAAGATTTTGTTGTTGTTGCTGTTGTTAGAGGAATCTAACAATTAATTGGAAATAGCATTTTAGGATAATATATAATCTTTTGAGTAACAAGTCATTGATATGCTGCTCCTAATAATAATCTGTGGATAATAAGAATGCAATCCTCACTTTCACAGAATATAATAGATAGAATAGAATAATGTAGGGCTCTAGGGCTAGGTGGACCACCTTTTATACTATTTGATGTCATGATTTCCACCAACATTGTGCTAGCTTTGTCTCGCAAGAATATTTATGGCCAACCACATTGAAAGAACTCAATGTTCCCTCTACACTCTCTGCCTTTTTGTTGTTTGACTAGTGTCTGTTAGGGAGATTGCATATTCGTATTTCGTTGGTGTATTATATGATGTGGTGAATTCTGCATACAGCTAATGATTCAATGAAATAAACTCATGAAAATTCGACATTTGCTCATCACTTGCCACATTAAATAGTACACTGAAGTAGTCTCATTTTTTTGGTTTTTATTTTATTTTGCAAAGTTGGAATCTTAAGGCTTTGTGGGGGCTGCATGCTATGGTCATCCTTGGCTTTCCAATTTGTTATTTAATCTCTCTCCATCACACCCACCGACCCACCAGCCAAGCAATCTTGCAAAAGATTTGTGTCCTCTCCTCACCACAATTGGACTATAACCTTAAAATATGATAATGAATAATCATGATTATGATCGTATAGTCGTGTAATTCGAATAATTACAATGACCAAAAGATTTGGTCAGTGAAACGTGCCCGTTTCTCTGCATTCAAGTTAAATCTCTATTCCTGTCATCCTAAATTAGGGCATTGAAAATCGTGAATATTTGTTTGATGATGCATGGTTTTGGACAGACACGGTGGCTCTGGAGTTCAACCAGTACACACATGGTTCACGGTGGAGATGCACAAACATCAGCAGAAGAGATCATCGAGAGGAGGGAAATGAGGCAGATGGGTTTTATGGGGGAATCAGGAAGCTCAGAACCAAACAAGAAATTTCCATGTGGAAGCTTCTTTGGCCTACGCAAGTTTTGGAATAATATAATATTATTATATGCAAATTTGGTTTTGCATTAGCGTTAAAAGATTGTTATTGGCACTCTAAAATTCGCATTAGCTACCTCAAACTTTCTATATTTAAAAAGAAATTATGCAAAATGTAAAATGAGATTTTTTGAGTGCTAATAACTATTTCTTACCTTTAATTCCAATTATATAATCCACTTGCATCACATTTTATTTACCTTTATTTTTATTTTTATTTTTTTTTGTGGGATTCTGATCGCTGTACACGGCAGAATTCATGCAATTAATGTAAGATAACTTATCCCACGATTTGTAAAAGTTTAGTTGATAAATCTTCAATTGGAAGTCGTAGAAATTGGTAATGCAATTGCAATTTCTCATTTTGCTTTTCAATATGTCTACCTTTTCATTCAAGCTCCCTTTACTTTATGATTTGATAATATGGTCTAAGTTGGGACTATAAAGGTCCTAATTTCCTTTCTAATATTCCAGTTGAAGATGTAAATTTATATATTAGAATTTAATAAATTCCATCTTTTGACCAAAAAAAAAAAAAAAAAAAAAAAACTTTTATCGGAATCTAAATATTTTTAGGTTAAAAGAAGGAAAATTTTATTTGTATTGTAGCCTATTTTATCTGACAAGGTTAAAGGGGGCTGGCGGCAAGGGTAGAGAGATTGAGAGATGTGTTTGTAGAATTTTAGGGGAATGTGTGAGTTATCCCTCCTACATAGTACCTTTATTTATAGTAGTAAAAGGAGAAAAGAAATTCCTTCATCCCCAAGGAATACAAGTTGTAATAGGAAAGGATAACTAGAATTAAATATAATCTAGGATTTGCACAATCACACTTAAACTAGAAAAGTTTACAACACTCCCCCTTGAGTGTATAAATACGCAAGGTAGATTTAGCATCATGCATAAGTTGAGGAAGTCAACTCGTCGGCACTGATTCTAAGGAACAATGCTTATTCTCAATAAGGTAGGAATTTGCATAAGTGAGTCTCACTAAAAAAACCCTAAGGCTATGGCAAAAACCTGAGTAAGGACAAAATCCATAGACTAAGAAAAAACGTGTGAGAAATGCAAAGTCAAAAGATATGTCTACGGGACATCATCAGGGATATGACCAGCCTAAGGTGGGTTCCTCAATAAAACCTAGTTAGGTAGCAAAAACCCAATGGGAAAAAATGCTCCTAATCGTAGGGAAAAAAAGTACATTAAGATCAAACAAGTATTCTTCAGGATACTCCCCCTGAGTTTGACACAATTCCTAAGAGAAATAGCAATGTTACAACTCAGAAAGTTTACGCATACCAATTCCATGAACAAGCTTCTGAAACATCGTCTTCGGCAGTGATTTGGTGAAGAGGTCGGCCATATTGTCTTATGAACAGATTTGCGTGACTTCAATCTTCTAATGCTCTTGTTGTTGATGTGAAAAGAAGAACTTCGACGCAATGTGCTTGTTGTTGTCTCCTTTGATATAACCCTTCTTAAGTTGTTCAATGCATGCTGTGTTGTCTTCAAAGATCGTCGTCGGGACATCAACGTCGAGGTAAAAATCGCAAGAGCTTCGAATATGGTCCACATCTTCTCTTAACCAAAAGCATTCCCGTTGCTTATGTTCGAAGTATGCCCACAAAGCCACTCATTTGATGTAATAGCTTTTGGAATGCTTATTGTGTTTATTATATGTTTAATGAAGGGCAAATTTTATTGTTAATCACTATTTATTGTATTATGTGTTTAAGTAATAAGGGAATCCAAGGAATGTATTTAATCTAAGAGATAAGTGATCTAAGTAAGATTAACGAGACATTTCTCTTATGTTCATTCCTAAAATGTTCCTAGCTATAGGATTGCCAGTTGGGCATTGACAATCCGCTAAGATTAGTATGTGTTATGTTAACTCAAGCATGAGTATGACTAGTCTCATGTCCTTTAGTGTTGGACACTGAGACAAACACATAGGCGCTCAAAAGGTAATTGAGTACATTGAACAACGATAAAAAAGGAGTTCGAACATACATGTCATGTAAGAACTCGTAAGTTGCAATATGCAAAGTAGTCCTTTGACTTGAGACATCATAGATGTCTAATGGTTGGGTCCTTGATCTTTGATCATGGTAAAGGCAGTCCATTGAGAGTGTCTGCAGCATTATTGGGGTCAAGCTATAGTCATGTAGGCATATGAATGCACAACAAGGGATCTCTAACCTTCCATGGTGGAGGGAGAATACTCTGAGATATGATTCGGGAGTCTTTGGCCAAAGCATATGAATATGACTTAGGAAGTTTGTTCCAAATCATATTGAAATGAATCGTATAGAGAAGTATCACATTGGATAGTAGACATGAAACAAACTATCACTCAAACAATGTGATTAAGAGTATTGTATTAGAGAAAGACTGTATTGCATTGTAATTGTAACTGGATAGGTTCTCCAACCACTTCTACTTAGCTTAGGTAGCCATGACATACTGCTAGGTGTCACTCATGGATTGTGGAAGCCCTAAAGATTAGCAAACACTAATCTTCATCAAAGGGAGAATTGAAATGTGGTTTCAATTCACAATCGATTGTTAAGAGTAAAAATCGCCAACTGCCTCGCTAATTGGAACCTAATGGATCGTACACCGAGTAAGGATGAAAGTGAAGAAATATAAATGAGATGGGTAAGAAATTAAATGGTTTAATTGAGAATGGTCAAGATTAATTAATTAGTTAATTATTTATATGAAAGGTTCGTATTAGGCTTTCAATTTAGTTTCGGGTTTCGGGGGCCTAAAAGTGTTTTGGTCCACAAGGCCCATTATGTTTAAGTTGTATGACAACTAAAACAAAATGGGCAATTAGCCCAATAACAAAGTCAAGGCCGGCCATAAGGGTGAGTGGATGCAAAATTGGATTAATTGCAAGTTTGCTACTCACATGCGAGGTACTATAAAGTCATCTTTATAGCTTTTACTCACTAGGGTTTTCTTGAGGCAAAGAAGAGAAACTTTTTCTCTCATTTTCTCCATAGAGGCCGGCCACTTAGGGGAAGGATAGCTAGCAATCTTTCTTCCCCTAAGTCATCCATTTCATCTTCACACCTCATCCTTGGTGTGGAGACTTAGAGACACTAAATCTTTGGTGTTCTTGGAGATCCTTTCCTCACATCCTCAAGGAGCAAATGAGTATCAAAAGGAAGAAAAACACAAGGAAGATGTAAGGAGCTAGGAGGTGACTTGAAGGCCCTCCACTTGGGTGAATCCCTTGTGTAAACAAGGATGAGCTTCAAGGGTAATGAATCTCAAAATCCTTTCTTCTCTTTAATGTTATTAAGGAGTCTTGTGGTTCACCATTCATTAGCCTTTGAAAGTCATGGGTTTTTAAAATTGTTTTTTAATGCATGTCCACTTTAAAGTGTTATTAGTTTGCTTATGTGTTCAAATGTTCTCACATGTTCTTAGCTAGGACAAAATTTTTCCTTTAGCTTCCAGTAAGGCGAGAATTTAAGCATGGTTAGATGAAGTGGCAACTAAGGTCTGTTTAGTTGACATCTAAGAGATTGCGGTGCCTCCAACGGTAAAGACATTACCAGTTTGAGAATGCGTCTTGTGCGGATCAGACAAGTATCCTGCGTCGGTATAACCAACAAGGTGAGAATTGACTTGAGAAACAGGGGGTACGACATTACTCGAGGATCCGTAGGGATAGAACAAGCCCAAATTCGTAGTACCCGTTAAGGTAACAGAAGATGTCTTTCATGCTAGTCCAGTGTCTGAGTGTAGGTGCATTACTGTATCTTGCCAAAAGATTAACAGCGAAGGAGATGTCGGGTCTAGTGAGCTAAGTACAATAAAGCGCCTATCGCACTTAGATAAGGAATTTTAGGCTCTAAAATCTCATCATCATCCTCCTTAGGATAGAAGGGATCTCATTTTGCATCTAGCGTTTAGTGTTGAGTCAGTTTTGAGTCTATAGAGTCTCTTTTTGATTGTTTGTTGTTGTTTTGAGTCAGTTTTGAGTCTATAGAGTCTAGTTTAGTGTTTTTGAGTCTTATTTGTGTTGATTAGCAACCCTAGTTAATCCCCGGTCTAGAACGATCCCTACTTGCTTAATACTACAATTACATGTTTACTAGGGTTTAATTTGTGTGTCAAGTTAATTTTCACATCAATGGATCTGTTGTCACACCCTAATTATCTTAACAAGTTACCAGACTCGACCCAACCCATTTACACCCATTAAGAACAATATATGCTTTATTAGACCTTCTCCCTAGTTTGTTTTGTTTTTTCTTATTTTGCTAAATAAGGGCTCGTTTGGAAGTGATTTTAAAATATCTGAAAGCGTTTTTTATGAAAGTGGTTTTGGAACCAATTCTTAGTAAAAATGCAAGTGAATTCTGGAAAAGAACTTAAAATGCTTCATGCAAGGAGCACTTAAAGTGCTTTTGGAATCCAAATTCACTTTCAGCAAAAGCGATTTCGGTCATTTTAAAAACACTTCCAAACAAGTAGTAAATCTCTTATCAAATAAAAAATTTCATACGAAATTACTAAATATTAACATCTGAATTCGTAAGTTCAGTTTTATTCAACAATAAGACTATAATAACTCCATTAAGCACTACAAGTTTATATCTACATGCATAGATGTTACTTTCAAAACAAACCTCTAGCAACTAATCGCCTTGGGGCCAAGGAAAATCTATTAATATAGGGTAATAATTTAACAGTCATTTAATAAATTATTAATTTACCAAAGTATTCCTTATTTCTTAAATATTGTATATTGTATTTAGTTTCTCGTTTTACGAACTAATAATCCTATATGTTTGTTTAACCAAGTAAATTTCATGAATCTACCGTAGGAAAAATAGAAAACACTTCATGAATCTACCTATTATTCTAGAAATAGATTGTACATTGTTCAACGTAATACATTATTTCATTTTATGAGCATTTAACCAAGCAAAAACTCTATTTAAATAATCAAAAGCCATGGTAACACAACACATCATACATACAACATTGGCATTTGATCTCAAAAGTGTAAAGAAATTAGAAAAATTATTATTTTATATATTATATGGGATCTATAAGAATTTTATAAAATATAGTGAATTATTAATTTAACACATTATCCCCAAGTCAAAACCTATCAAAAATATTATTTAACTAAGTCATTAACCGGACAGCACACCCAGCCACTTATTCTTTGACCTGAAACTCATTATTTCCATGTTGATTCATGTCAGATTCACGGTCGTGTCTGAAATTGGCAAGTTAAGGCACATTACACTTGAAACGATGAATGTGCCCCATGTCCCTAATTTTCCCTTTAATTGTGTCCTCATAAATGTAAAATGATCAAAATCCTCATAGAAGGGTAAATGTTGAATTTGCATTTACTTTCATTCTTGTGACACATATGAATTATTCTTTTAACATATTCTTGTAATGCTCGTCGATAGGAATGCATTAGAGCAAGGAGTAACGGAATTTGGAGTTAAAATGAATAGTGACTTTTAGTTTAATGGGTTACCCACGGCTAATCCTGAATTAATCTGTTATTTAACGAATGTTTAAGGCATTGATCGGACAGCAAACCCAACCACTTATTCTTTGACCTGAAACCATTATTTCCATGTTGATTCATGTCAGATTCGCGGTCGTGTCTGAAATTGGCAAGTTAAGGCACGGTACACTTGAAACGACGAATGTGCCCCATCATGTAGAAGTATCACTTGCAGTATTTTAACAACTCTTTATGAAATTTTCAGTTTTGTACTGCATGGAAATGTTTTGGTGATTGATCGAACTGCTTGGCGCAACTCATGATATCTGGTGTTTGGATTTCATATTTGACAATCATAAGGTATACATGTTGCTTCCTTTAATGGTCATCTCTTTCTCTTCAGTACTCATCTTTTTAACTTTACTTTTGCTCTCAATAGGTGTTTGGAGTGGAGCTTCTTCTACGCAACAATGGAGGACGTAATCTTCACTGAGGTATACTACTAATACTATTATCATTACTAATTGATTCGTGGTTATGAGCTTCTGAATTTGTAATCACAATTTAGCAGTATTTCTGTTGTAGTTGTTCCAATCAGATTTTGGTGTGGCACTCCATGTGTTTGATGAAATGTCTCCGAGAAAATCTTGTACTGAAATCGAATTCAGGATGGATGAGAATAAAAAGTTCAAAACATAATAGAAAGAAACAATCCAGTCATCAAACTTCACGGAAAATTAAAACATGGTTTAAGAATTCCAAAAATAACACATCGAAAATGGCAGGTATCTCTCTAGATACTTGCAGGGGCAACTACCAACTACCAAGTCAAATGCCTACTTGATGCTTTTGATGATAGAAGAAATAGCCACCGCCTTAATATCCAACTTAGTTGAAGGGCTGCCCTTTATTTCAGCACTGCTACTAAGCGGCATTTCTTGCTCACGAGCCATATCTTCTTTTTCTCGATCCTCACTCGAAGCCATTGTATCTGAATTTGGGGAAGATGCTTCTGGTTTCTGCCCAGCTAAATGTTCTAGATTCCAGATGAATTGTGAATGAACCAAGGGGCATTCAGAGCCGATCAACCTAAATGCAGTGTCCAAGCTTCTCATCCTATTAGTTTGATCTTCTATCCTCTGGTGCTCCGACATATGAGCATCCAGGTTTTCAGAAAATACAAATTCACAGGGGCATTTAGGACATATGTAGAGAGTGTATTTGCTCTTGTTCAAATTCCTTTTTGTCCCTATTCTGTCAGTTAGGCTTGGATTGGAACCCACTTTTTTATCTTGCTGAGCAGCTAGGAGATTTACACTAGGATTGCTCCCTTTGTAGCTTTGTAGTTCAGACAAGTTTGATCTTTCCATATAAAGATGAGGTTCATTCCAAGTGAAGAAGGAGAAGTTTGAGTCAGGATAAGATACGCTTACTGGTGTACGAGCAAATTCCTTATTGCCTCTAAACTCAATTGTATTGAGATTGATAGGATCTCTGAGCTGGTTATGAGATGAGGGACCATAAGAACAATACTGAGAAACCTCAGAAGCTGCAAAATGAACGAAGCCATTGAACGTTATTAAACATAGTCCCATGGATCTTGCTTTCTAAAAAATTTAAAAAAATATACATACACATACAGTTAATTGGTTTCCAAGTTTTTAAGGGGTTGTTTGGTGTACTTCTTGGATTCTATTTTTTGTTTGAAACTAATGAGTATTACTTTCATTCATCATATTTTAAAACTAGTGAGTAATGAGTATTAAGCAAATTGTGGATTAATCCAAGTAGAATGGGTTGGGCTTGATAGTTTTCCTTAAAATTGGTATTTCCCCTTAACACCTATATTAGAGTCGGTATTTAATTCACTTCAAAAACAAAATTGGTACTTAATCTGAATTTGTTTGGTTTTTAATTCATCTACAAAAAATAATAATAATAAATAAATTATCTGACTGACAAAGAAGTTGAAAAGTGACATCTCTGAAAAATTGCAATTCGACAGAAATTACCCGGAGAAAAAGATGGCTGCATAAACCAAAGAAGGCTATTCTCAATCTTTTGAAGGCGAATAGTTTGTGACCAATCTGCATTAACTTGAGTTCTTCTGGATGCTGCAACAAATTGACTCAGAGTAAGTTGGCTCATGCCTTGCATTGGCTTCTTTTTAGAGGGTGGACGGTCATTTGATCCTGAAGATCGAGAAGTACTCACCGTTGTGGCAAAATGGACAGTGTGGTTTCTTTCCCTACAGTTTTCCGAGGGGTTTTCTGGAGGAGTGTCTGTGCTGGTACATTGGAAATGCAAACCAAAGGGAATTGAAGCATAAACTGGTTTTTCCATGAAGAGAGAAGGACAAAAGGTAACTGCTATGAGGTAATTGCACTGAAAGATGAATGAATAACACGCGAAGTAATTATATCATTGGGACTCTTTAGATTGAGTTCAAATACCCAAGTCCAAATTCTAAAATGGAAAATTACCCTGAGCACATAAAATGAATCTGGCCATATAACATATAACGTAATGAATTGAATACCTTTTCTCTACAAAGAAATTTATTTAATGTGCACGATTATATGGGAAGAAGTGTTTTGAAATGAGAAATATTTTCAAGGATCAGGAGTGTCAGCCTGAGTATTTTTTTTTTCAATTGTGTACGTATTAAAGTTTTCCAGAAAAATCGTACCTGGTTAGATATAATGAGCTCAAGAAGATTTGCTTTTGTGCAACTCCAATTGTCATACTCTGAATTTTACATCAGTAATGCGCTGCCAAGATCTGTGGTAGATAAGTAATGCACTGTCAACTTCTGGACTCTAAACTCCAAAAGTTAACTTCAGGTAATGCTTTTGGATGAGGCTTTGGGCCGTTACTGATGGTATCCGAGTCCAACCCACCCCATTGCCTATACGGATTCACTGCCCATGGTCATGATGATGATTGCTTGACAATGAATGAAAGGGCACTGCCCTCTCTGCACAAGGAGGGGAGAAATGTGATGCCCCGAATCTTGTATTTGGTGATGCACTGGAAAGACCTAGGATATTGTAAGGCTAAAGAATCCAGAAGTTAACTTTAGCTGGAAATTTTGGATGTGTCCTTGGATAGTTACATTGGACTTGCTGCAGTTACACATTACATCTATTCTGAAGTCTGGAACTGTTATATAATGAAGAGTTTATCTCAGTTTTGCATGCGGATAATGTTGGAAATGAAAAAGCATGGTATGTTTTATCCTAATTTCAGTATGCCTGCTGATCCTCGTTATGTTATACCTGCTTTATGCTTATTCTATCGAATGGGTGTTATAACTAATTCTTCCCTTACTACTAAGCCTTCAATATTTCAATTTTTCTTTGTGCAGGAGTCCCACTCTGACTCATACAATAAACTCAATGTCGGTGACTGCAGAAGAGGTGAAGGTCATATCAGTGCTGCTGGTATCGTTTGTGATAGTAATGAAGGATGGACCATAGTGTTTTTCAGGTAAGCTTGGGATGGGAGAGGTACTAACTGCGAATGCTTAGGGTTTGGCCTGGAATAAGGTTATTAAGAATCTGAAAAATGAAAGAGCTTCAGCTATATATAGAAGTTACTTTGATGATGCAAAGTTTAGAAGTATGTATAAAAGAAATAATGTAAATATTGACTGTGAAGATACATCAAATAATTATTAAAGAAGCCAAACTGAAATTCACCTCAAAAATTTCTTTAGTTCCTTCTAAAGATTGGTCAATAGATTGAGCTTGTTCGGAAGTGCTTTTAAAATGACTGGAAGCGTTTTTGGTGAAATTGATTTTGAGTTCCACAAGCACTTTAAGTGCTTTTTGGAAGAAGCACCAGATATATGCTTCTTGCAAGAAGCACTTAAAAGTACTTTTCCAGGATCCACTTAGATTTTTACTAAGGATTGGTTTCAAAAACATTTTCACTGGAAGCACTTTCAGTCATTTTAAAAGCACTTCCAAACGAGTTTTCATTTACAAGTAAGTTTTTTTTCCTTTTTTTTTTTTTTTTTTTTTTCTGTTTAATGTGTTGAAAAATTAGTTTCATCATTAATATGGTTGTACAGTTTACTTCACTATATAAACGACAATAACAACTTCTTTTTTTCTCCTTTTGGGAGTTGAAGACATAGAGTGCAGGAGCTTGAAGTAGAAAATATTTTTTGCCACGACACTGGCTGGTTCACCGTGGATACCTTGCCCTATAACCCATACAGAGCAAAAGCCTTGGCCTGAATTGTACTAGCGTTGTCTTGGTGAGTTGGTTAGATATCCTCTTCTCAGCTTTGCAGCTGGTTGATCTTCCTGACTTAAGGCTTAGTCTCCTTAGAAATGTTGGCTTTTTCAATATTTCAGAAGTTTGATCTTTCCTCTTTTTGTCTTCATCATCTGGTTTCCCAAACAACGCACTCAATAAAAGCCTTCTGATTTTCTGCCCCTTGGTTTGCTTTTTACAAGGCCCCCCACTTTCTTGAGCAATGTTATTCTTAGGCGTCTCCGTCTCCAATTTGGGGCGACTGTGTCTCTCAGAATGATCCAATTCCATTCCGACGAGTCTAACTTGTCTTGCAAACTCCAGTCCTCTGGGCAGAGCCAGCCTGGTTGGACTTTGTAGCAGACTTGGGGAGTTCACAGAAGGTGAGTGAATTGGTGTTTGCAGGCCAGTTTGTTTATTCTGTTGGTCATTCAGGTCAGATATGTCACGAGCCTCTGTCTCAGCTTTCCCTCTCTTTTCCTCCTCCCTGACATGCTGCAGCGCCACCATGAACGGATCAAAATCATCATTCCACAACCTCCTATGCAAAACCCGCATTTTGATCCCAGAACTAGGTGACCTTGGGGTAGATGGGGTCGGGCTTTGGTTGGTATATTTCTGACCAAGACGGGGTGGAAGTTTGAGTGGAGGTGCAAGCGGCATAACTTTTCCCTCGCAGAAAAGGTCATCAGCAAATGCCATGGTCTGCCTTTTTTCGCGCTGCTTGCGATCAAACAAGTCTTTCACCTGCTGGCTAGTCACATTATCAACCGAACCAAGATTGAAACTGTTACTGGTGTCGAATTCAAAGTCCCCGAGTTCGGAATTGGCATCATGATATGGTGTCATGGGTGGTGTTGGGTAGTCATCATAAGTTGATGATATGGTCCTTTTCCTAGGACTAGTTGGGACACTAAAGAAGAAGACGTTATTATTGGCAGAGCCGCAATATCTTCCAGGGGTAGCAGGTGCACTGACATAGGAGCAGAAATCATCTGGGATTTCCATTTCCGTTCAATTTCAGAGAGAGAGAGAGAGAGAGAGAGAGAGAGAGAGAGAGAGAGAGATTAATTTGGAATTGAGTGTAGAGATTTTCACTCCCGAATTGAAGGAAAGCCTGACTGACTGGGTTATATTTATAAACAAGGATTGATTTCCATCTTCCAAACTAATCTTCAAACATTCTTTTCTTGTTTTGAAAGGGAGACAACTGGTGACGAATCACGGTTATCCACCTATTTCAGGCTCGGAGAAGGCTTGTTGGAAATTCCCCCCTAAGTGGCCACTATCAAGTAGATTCATAGCTTACAAAGTATCGAACTCAGGACCTCCCGTTTTTTCTTTAGGGAGCTGATGTTCGCACTTGTCCATTGGGCCACTTGTCAGTGGTTTTTAAGCATAAACTTAACAAAAGAATTATTATCAATTAACATATTAATTCTTGGTTCTTTTCTCTTCCTATCGTCAATTAGGAGTCAAATAGGAGTCTTCTAATCAGAATTGTGAGCATAAGTTTGTTTCTTTCTAATCAACCCTCCCTTATCCAAGTATTTGTCTTTTCTAATATTTACGAGTGTCTGTTTTATTTCATTTTTTGTTTGTTTGGGTTGAAGTAGCTTTTGTTTTTCTTGAAGAAATATTTACTTGTTCTTAAATAATTATTATTATTGTGCGAAACAGTCAGAAAAGTGAATCAAGTGCCACAACCTAGTATTCTATCCGGATGCTCTTTGTAAGGATTTTAGAATCACTTTATCGTGTCCGTTCATTCGTCATTCTGCTGTCAGAAATCATTTTGAATTTTTTTATTTAAAATTGAACACAAATAGCACCTGATGAAAAATGACTACACAATGTACGATGAATGGACACGATGAAGTGATATCCATAATTCTCACAAAGAAAATCCAGAGAAAATCCTCATCCCAACCTTTGTACAAAGATTTTATTTATAAGTCAAGTCACGGACTAGATTGTGGTTGAAATAAGCACTTCTTAAGGTTCAAGATAATTAAAGAGGGAAAGCAAATGGATAGTACTTGGCAATATACATAGAGGTGACATCATTTTACCATCATTAGGCAAGACTTTTTGGGCTTTGAGATACCTTAATTTTCCTTAGTACGTTTTTGGCACAGGTCCTAAAATACCTCGAAAGAAAACAAGTGCCTTAAAGAGATATTCTAGTGAAATAATGGCACCAAATATAGATAAATGAATAACATAAAAAAACTATGACTTGGTTGAGTAATTCATGGTGTGGACGGCTACAAAAGTCCACCAAACCTATGTGAAATTCAAGCTTGTGAAGGTTTTGGGCTGCTTGGGAGTAAGCCCACAACTTTAATCTCATGAGGTTTGGATCCACTTAAACATGTCGGGTGAAGAAAAGCTTGTTTCACCAGCTTTGTGAGCGTGGCACGAATTTAGCATGATTTTTTTTTCGATTGCTTGAGTTATGAATTATTATATATTTTAGCGTGGCATGACTGTGGATTTGCATAGGTTCTTTTAATTGACCCTAAGTTCAGTTTGCTACAAATATGTGCTGGTTGGGCTTCCACGCGCAGTTGGACTTTTAATGAATTATTTGTGCCCTAACATTGGCATTAGTCTCATTGAGTATTGGGGCCATGAAAGGCTGAATTGTCCTTTCTTGCATGTGATGACGACAACATTGTGATTGCTTTTTCTGGTTTCCCACGCTTGTTCGCTCTCCCAAAGTCCCAACGAATCTGTGTATTCTTGATTGATTGAAGAGTATATTAATGCTCTCTCTTCGCCTCTTTTTTTAACAATACTCTTATTGGGCATTTCTCAGAGGTCGCACTTGGTGCGATGGCAAGTGCCTTCGTCCATGAGCGGTAGGTCTCGGGTTCGAGACTTGGGAGCAGCTTCCTCATAAATGGGGGTAAGGCTAGCCGACATTCACCTCTCCCAGACCCTGCGTAAAGCGGAAGCCTTGTGCACTGGGTACGACCTTTACTCTTATTGGGCATTTCTATGGTGCTCACTTTGCGTGCGGGATAGCTAAGGATTGTATTTGTGAGGATAGAGGCAGAGAGGAAGCTGGGGAAGTGAGTGAGTGCTCGATTTTAGGTGGACTAAAGATCAGTTTGGACTGGAGTTGACAAGATGTTGTGTTATGAAACCATGTGGTTAGAGCGTTGTCACCGTTGCGTTCGTCGTGGCGGCAGTTGGTTTAATCATATGGTTGAAGTGTTGCGGGATGTACGTTTCCTTTACATTTTCATTTCATTTTTTATTTTGGAAACCAACTTTGGGTACATGTGTAAGATATTTATAATTCTGGATTTTTGAATCCATAGTGCTTGGGGGTTACCACTAGACTTCGTTGAAATCTTGAAATTCGATTTTAGATGTATACGCTTAAAACTTGTGCTAAGTTGTGATAAATTCAAAGATTTGTAGCAGGTAGTTATTGAATTGTAATTTGATGGGGGATGAGTTAAAAATAGATGAAATTATCAAGGAAGGAGAGGATGTAGATGCAGGAGATCAATTTGGTGCAAGAAGGGTTGTATTTGTGATACAAAATGTAGACGATGAGTTGAAACCCAAATTGAAAGTGGAGTTTTATTCATTGGATGAATGATATATTTTTTCCAACAATTATGCACTTGCATCTGGGTTTGGGATTTAGTAGCAGAGTAGCTAAAAGTGCAATGATGGTAATTGTTTGGTAAGGAAAGAATTTGTTTGTTGCAAACAAGGCAAAAAGATGGTGGATGCCAATCTCAAACCCAATCGGAAAGGTAGGAGGGGAGATGCTAGAAGTGACTGCAAGGCAAAAATTGGTTGTATAAGAGAATTGGTCGTGATAAGTTTGTTGTAAAAGTTTTCAACAAAGGACACAACCACCTTATAGAAAGTGCCTCACACTTATTTAGATCTCATCATTGAGTTTCGGAGGCAAAGGAGGTGATGATTGAACAATGTGCTATGGTGAATATTTTCAAAATTAAACAAATGGGATTATTGGAGGTGAAAAGTGAAGGGATTGGAAATATTGATTATACCCTTAAGAATATGTATAATATTGAACATCAATTGTGAGCTCATCTAATCAAGCATGATGCAGAAATTTTGAGGATGAAAAAGAGAAAAACGAGCCATTCTATTTCAAGATAGAGATTGACGAAGCCATAACACTTGACAATTTCTTTTGAGCGGATGCTAAGTTACGACGTGGTTATGGCCATTTTGGTGATGTGATTGTTTTTGACACCACGTTCAACACCAATGTGTATGAGATGATGTTTGCTCCTTTGCTAGAAGTTAATAACCATGGTCACTGATGAGTAGATTTTATATTATATATTTTACCCTAATCTTAGTACATTTTGGTTAATATTTTAGAAGAATTTTGATGCTTTGAATTGTATTTTCAATGTAGGACTTTTGACTTTCTCTGGAGAAAACAGGATCAAATGGACGAATTTTGGAGTAATTCTAGTTGGAGAACGTTCGTAAGTCACTTAGCTTGATCGTATCAAAATCTGAGATTTTTCCACCAAGCGGTTACTTTTTGGCGATAAAATAAAGAAGCGATGCGCAGTGCTGGAAAATGACGTTTTTGGGTTTAAATTGCGTTTTTGGAGCCCAAGATGACCTCGGATGGGTTCGTGGCCTTCTAGAGAAGTGTTCAGAATATTCCAAACATTAAATCCAGCTATATTGGGCCAGTTTTGGAACAGCTTATGGGTCCAAAACGTGGTTGTTCAGATTTTAGACGAATTTTACCATTTAATTTAGGGTTATATTTCCTATTTTATTGGATTATTAATTTTAATTTCCTAGGGGGAATAAAGGACCTGTTTTTAGGGTTTGTGTGGGGGCTTAGTAGATATATTGCTTGGCCGTCTATCATATTTCACTACGCTTTCTTTTATGCAATTTTGGAGACAGAGAGAATTGCTAGGGTTTGGAGATTTTCTACTCTAAGGTGTTTTCAATCCTTTTCTTAATAATATTTTATATGATTTCAATTATGAATATGCGTAACTAATTTCTATTGCTAGGGCGAAGCCTTGAGCCTTAGCATGAGTATGTGATTTTTATTTAATTGCTTATGATTGATTGCATGCATACTTTGAATTGTTAATCACCGGGATAAAAACTATCTAATTGTCTTAATGCCTGATCACCATTAGCATCTTTAGAAAAGTAATTTGATGTAATTTTGGTCGGAAGGTTCCCTGAAATTGACGTTGGCTTCTTGTGATTAATAATTGTAATTTCACTTAGGATGAATACCACGTCTTAAGGGTTGCATGGTTTTTCAAAGGGTTTTCATAAAGCATAATGAGTCTTTCATGTTCAGATTTGATCCGAACGTCCGGACGGGTTGCATGTTAGATATACGTTCTATGTTGGAGGTTCCAAGTAGAATATGAATTAGGAAAATCTAACCTTCAAAGTGGCATGTGTAGATCATAAGTAATTGGTAAAAGTTCATAGGATTGCTAGGTGATGGTGGAACCCTAGTGTTTTCTTAATTTGATTTATCCCAAAACTGTTTTCTTTTCCTTCTAGTTTTTAATATTGCAGATTGTCTTATTTTTAATAATTAATTTCGTTTTTAATTTAAGTAGGCTATAAAATCAAAATTTCGTTTTTAATTTAAGTAGGCTATAAAATCAATCACCTCAATTTCTACTAAACAATAATTAATTGGAATTTGGTTTGCTTTGAATTATTTAATAATCCATGTGGGGAGCGACCTTACAAGATCCGTTTATACTACAACCTTGTGATTCTTGCAAGTATTATAGGAGTTTTTATCGTATTCACATGAGTAGTAAAATCCCTATCAAGAAAATGATGCCGTTGCCGAGGATTATTTAAAATAATTCCTACTAATCAAATTTTCAATTAGTTATTGCTGTTTATACATATATAAAGAAAAAAAATATTTAATTTTCGTTTTTATTTTATTTTTCACAGACTACAACAATACAGTGCAGATTACAAAGATAATCTGTGCATGGTCAGCACCCGTTCAATAGTACAGAAACTGCTTCCTTTTGATCCAGAACTTGAGCAGACTTTAAGGAGACGCAGGGAGAAAAATTTGCAGTGGGTTCCTTCTCTGTAGGGGACTTTTCTACAGTCTTCAATTTCTGGGAATCTGCACAGTAAAGGAAAAATGGCATTCGTTATTCCAGAGGCAGGTCAGCCTTTGGGTGATTCTTTAACAGCTCATACCACTAATATACCAAGTTGCATTACTTATCCAGCAGTGGAGGAAGGGTCTACATTTGAAATAAAGCAACACATGTTGAATATTCTACCTACATTTCATGAGTTATCAACTGACGATCCAAAACATGCATATTGCAGAATTTTTAATGGGTTGCAAAAATATTTTGGTGAGGGGATTTTCAGCCTAATCTATTAAGCTCCGTTTGTTTCCTTACACTCTAAAAGATCAAGCAAGGAGATGACTCCTCACTCCCATCTGGAAGCATTAGTACTTGGGCCCAACTCAGTGAAAATTTTTTAAACAAGTATTATCCGGCTTCTAAGACTCTTGACATGAGAACTCAGATTTTATCTTTTGCCCAAAAACCTAATGAAGAGTTTCATGAGGCATGAGAGCAGTTCAAGGAGTTGATTAGAAAATGTCCACATTCGGGTATTAACACTACAGATTAAATGCATATATTTTTCAGAGGGTTAAATATGACTACAAAAACTCTTGTCAACGCTTCATGCGGAGGTTCGTACAAAGATAAAACTGCACAAGAGGCTTGTTTGTTATTTGAAAAAATGGCAGCAGATACACAACAATGGGCAGTTGAGTAGCCACAATCTAGATCCGTTTTTGAGATGTTTAACGGTTCTCCGTATATTACAGCACAAATTGAAAAAATGGAGAAAATGCTTGATGAAAAATTTGACATGTTATTACAAAGAATTCCAGGTTCACAGGTTGTTGTACAGCAGCCTTTACAAGCTGCCTGCAACGTTTGCAGCATGACAAATCATGATTTTTTGAGCTGTCCACATAGAGATGCTTATTCGAAGTTTACAGCGGAGCAGGCTAATTCATTTAACAATTTTCAGCGTCCCAGATATGACCCGTATTCAAATTTCTATAACCCAGGTTGGAGAGATCATCTTAATTTAAAGTGGGACAAAGATCAACACTATAGGCCTCAATTTCAACAACAGGTACAACAACCTGATGCACTTAAGGCTTATTGGGAGATAGCAATTGAAAAATTAGCTAATACTACCAATCAAGAAATCCAAAATCTGCATGCATCAATGAAAAATATGGAAAAACAAATTGAGCAGATTGCGTTGCAAGTTTCAGAAAGAGCACCGGGTACATTTCCTAGTCAAACAGTACCTAATCCAAGAGGACGAGAAGAATGCAATGCTATACAGAATTTACGGTCTAGCAAAAATTATGACAACAGACTTGAAAATTCTGCTAGAAATTCATAGGCAGCAGAACTGCCCCAAACTAAATCTGATACTTTTGAAGATTCTGCAATTTATGAAGATTCTGGGCAGCCCTAAAGACAGATCCAAAAATACTGCAGAAGCTACCACAAAAACTGCAGAGCATGTTTATGAGTCACCTATGCCTTATCCTGAAATGTTGAAGCCTAAAGTTAAAGATCAACATTTAACAGATTTTATGAAGACTTTTTCTAAAGTTCAGATTAATCTATCGTTAATTGATGCAATCAAGAACATTCCATATTATGCCAAGTTTTTGAAGGACGTTTGCACAAAGAAAAAGAAGCTCGTTGATTTTGAAAAAGTGATTCTGACAGAACAATGCAGTGCGGTCTTATTGCATAAATTGCCTCTAAAGAAAAAAGATCCAGAGAGTTTTACTATCTCTTGCACCATTGGAAATTGTGATTTTAATAGTGCTTTAATTGATTTAGGTGCTAGTGTAAACTTAATGCCTTATTCTGTTTTTAATCGTTTAGGTGAAGGAGAGCCGAAGTCGACCTCCAACATTATTCAATTGGCTGACCATTCAATTACCTATCCTAGAGGAGTCATTGAAGATGTTATTGTGAAGGTTGACAATTTATATTTACCGGCTGATTTTATGGTGTTGGACATGGATGAGGATTTGACAACACCCATCATTTTGGGCCGCCCATTCCTGGCAACAGCCCGAACTCTTATTGATATGGAAGCTGGAACATTAACATTTCGGGTTGAAGATCAAACAGTTGTTTTCAAGTTGTTTGAAGCAAGCATACATTCAGGTGACAAGCAAGAATGCATGCGCGTTGATGTATTAAATGGTTTACCTCATGCCAATTTTGTGACCAGATCATCTACTGGCAAGCTGCCCATAAAGACTCAAAATGTGATTTGCCACCAGATTGACCAAAAACATTTGAATGTCAAGGGCAATAAAAAATTGCAAAGCAGTCCAAGTTGTGCAAAAATACAGCCTGGTAAAAAAGTGTGGTTGTTAAGTTCCTATTTCAAATCATCTCCAGGGAAACAAGAGTCTCGATGGAAAGGTCATTTTCTAGTTACTAACGTTTTTTCAGAATGGTAATGTGGACATCACGGTTGAGGGTAAAGATTTCCCATTTAAGGTTACCAAACATCAACTTAAACCATGCATAGGGAAATTTGGTGCAAGCGAGTTTTTGACTCTGAAGGAACCAGTAATCTAGCCACCAGACTTCTACAATGTCTAGCTACAGACTTAAAATAAAGCGCTTGTTGGGAGGCAACCCAATTTTTCTAAACTCTTTCCTTATTTTATTTTTCGTTTGATTTTTTTTATTATTAGTTAAATTTCTAGATGCATTTACATACCTAAGTTTAAATAAATAAATAAAATACAGATTATAAAATAAAAAAATAAAAACGTGAAAAATCCAAAAATATTTTGCTTTCTTTATTTACACAGTTGATTTTAGCTCCGTTTTTAATATTTGCATATATTGGTTAATTGCAGGTTGCACGCATGGAAACCAAGGGAAAATAGAGACAGCTTATCATATACTGGAGTCATGCACCCAACAACAAGTTTGCATTAACATCAACCACATCTACACTATGCTAAAATTTAAAGCAATTAATATGAGCTCATTCAGCGATGCAAGTTTGGCGGTGGGAAATTGCAAGGATACGAAATTTTACCTGCCAGATGCTCCGATATGGGCTCTTGGAAGCTTGTGCCGTTTTTGTCCATTGAAGCTGATGTTTATCCATCCACTTTCCTTCCCACGGATCTATCAGTGATCCACCTTTATTGCACAAAGCACACCAACATGAGACCATGCAGATCCATAAAACATCATCTTTACAGAATAAGACCCAAATACAACCCCAGCTCAGTTTTACCTTCGTTGTGCATCACTTACAACACCCGATATTGTGAAAATCATGATTTCTACATGGATGAGTGCTTATACCTTCCAAATCGATAGATCATGGCCTTTGTGATGTGTCCTGCCTTTCGTCCAGTGGATCTCCAGTTTGAGCATTCTTTCTCTCGGATCTATCATGGATCCGAGTGTTTCTGCACAAAGACCACACCATTATAATTACATGCAGCAGTAATGCAGCCACTGTTTCACATATTGGGGTTCATCACTGACAGCGAACAAGATTTTACCTTCGAAATACCCGGATCTGCACAATCTTCATTGTTTTCTCCTTTCCTTTGCTGTGTTCAGCTTCTAGTTCATAGAGGAATCAAACATGTATGTTTTGCTCCACCATGGATGGGGTCGAGAGACACGGGGTATGTATATTGTTTGGCTTTTTGTATGAAGAGGGGTGCCAAACTGAGAAGACAATGGGAGGTTTGAAATGATGAGATGGCTGCGAGGATTGAGAAAAATGAGAAAGAATGAAAGCTAATTTTCATTTTAAAGAGATATGGGGTCTGAGAGCAAAAGAGAGAGTGGGTTGAGGAAAATGGGAGACTTATTTCTGATATGGATGTACGTTTGGGTTTTTAGTGAGATAGGCTGGAGTTTCTTAAAACGACAAAAAAAAAAAAAGATTAGAAGGGAGAGAAATGGGTGCATCTGAGCCTTTCTTTTAGAATCCTAAGGAATGCATCATATGGATGCGTGACATGTGGCTTGTCATGTTTGTTAGGATAGGGATATTTTCAAAATGGGAGACAGGGAGCCGTTTAGTGGCTCAGGGATCGAGGCTAGTGAAAAGGGAATCCTATGCGTGTTCAATAATAGCTAGGTTTTTTTTAAATGACACATGCAGCTGCTACACCTGTTTCTATACCCGCTGTTACGCAAGTTGACACAAGTGTTGCATTGTCCGTGGTGGTCCGTGCATCTTCACACAGCCTCAGGTCCTGAGTTCGAATCCAGGTGCTTTTTTTCCTTTTTTTCTGTTTGTTCTATTATTTGTTTTTTTTTCTGTTTTTTCCTTTTTAGTCTAGGCTTTTGTTTTATCTTTTCCAGTTTTGCTTTTTGTTTTTTTTAGTTTCCATTTATTTCCCTTTTTTTTCTGTTTGTTCTATTATTTGTTTTTTTTTCTGTTTTTTCCTTTTTAGTCTAGGCTTTTGTTTTATCTTTTCCAGTTTTGCTTTTTGTTTTTTTTAGTTTCCATTTATTTCGAATCCAGGTGCTTCTTTTCCTTCTTTTCTGTTTGTTCTATTATTTGTTTATTTTAATTTCTTTGTTTCTTCTCTGTTTTCCTTTTTCTTTTAATTTATTTAGTCTAGGCTTTTGTTTTATCTTTTCCAGTTTTGCTTTTTGTTTTTTTTAGTTTCCATTTTTTTTCCACACCTTGAGGACAAAGTGTGATATAAGTTTGGGGGTGGGAAAGTAAACTTTTAGGATTTTAATTTTTGTGTCAGTTAAGCAATTTTATTCTTTTTAATTTAATATCCATAAATTATTTTAAACGTTGGAACAAATGGACACGGTAAAGATTAATCCCACATTAGAGTCCTTTCTATTTATCGTTGCTTAGACACTAATTCATGAATTATACTTTGAACTTTGCACATCACACCAACATGGTTTGTGGGGAGTGAGATTGAAACACTTACTTTTAGTCTAAGTTTATTTTTAATTTTTGTTTTAAGTAAAGTCAGTTATTATTGTGTTATAAAGTAATAATTGTCTCACCCGAGGTTTTGCCTGGTAACCGGGCTAGTCTTGCCTAATTAGCAGTGATTCTCGCGTCAAACAGTAGAGTTTTGGCATGGGGCAGGGTGGTTAGTTGGTTTCGTAGCCTTTTCAGCTCGGGTTAATAAGTCCTTAGGGGTGTTCTACACCTAGTGCCCTAAAACCCTAGTGGTTTGGGAGTCATTGACCTAAAGCTCGCTACATGGGTTGGATCGAAAGCTTAAGTGAACCGACATTGCACGACCACTACTGTTACTGGAAAAAAAAAAAGAGAAAAAGAAAAAGAAAAATAGTTATATATAAAGTTAGCATGTGTGAAATAAAGAAGGACGAGAGGTAAGAGTTTTAGTCGAGTCTCCTTAACTATGTTGGTTCACTTTACACCAAAGGAAGTTTGTGAATTCTTTTGTAATTGATTCTAAATGGTTTAGACTATGTGGTGGGATTGGTTGGAACTTTTAAAAAGATGTTCTAGTTTTTAAAATTTGCCATGGATTGCAACTTTGAAGGTGAAAATTTTTGTTAGTTAATTTTAGCTAGTTGTTTAGTTTGTTAGTTTTTATTTTTGTTTTCTAGTTTTGTTTTGCTTGAGAACAAGCAAAAAACTAAGTTTGGGGGTATTTTGATGAGTAGATTTTATATTATATATTTTACCCTAATCTTAGTACATTTTGGTTAATATTTTGGAAGAATTTTGATGCTTTGAATTGTATTTTCAATATAGGACTTTTGACTTCATCTGGAGAAAAACATGATCAAATGGATTAATTTTGGAGTAATTTCAGTTGGAAAACGTTCATGAGTCACTTAGCTTGATCCTATCAAAATATGGGATTTTTCCACCAAGCGGTTATTTTCTGGCGATAAAATAAAGGAGCGATGCGCAGTGCTGGAAAATAACGTTTTTGGGCTTAAATTGCGTTTTTGGAGCCCAAGATGACATCGGATGGGTTCGTAGCCTTTTGGAGAAGTGTTCAGAATATTCCAAACATTAAATCCAGCTATATTGAGCCAGTTTTGGAGCAGCTTATGGGTCCAAAACGTGGCTGTTCAGATTTTAGACGAATTTTACCATTTAATTTAGTGTTATGTTTCCTATTTTATTTGATTATTAATTTTAGTTTCCTAGGGGGAATAAATGACCTGTGTTTAGGGTTTGTGTGGGGGCTTAGCAGATATATTGCTTGGCCGTCTACCATATTTCACTACGTTTTCTTTTATGCAATTTTGGAGATAGAGAGAATTGCTAGGGTTTGGAGATTTTCTACTCTAAGGTGTTTTCAATTCTTTTCTTAATAATATTTTATATGATTTCAATTATGAATATACGTAACTAATTTCTATTGCTAGGGCGAAGCCTTGAGCCTTAGCATGAGTATGTGATTTTTATTTAATTGCTTATGATTGATTGCATGCATACTTTGAATTGTTAATCACCGGGATAAAAACTATCTAATTGTCTTAATGCCTGATCACCATTAGCATATTTAGAAAAGTAATTTGATGCAATTTTGGTCGGAAGGTTCCCTGAAATTGACGTTGGCTTCTTGTGATTAATAATTGTAATTTCACTTAGGATGAATACCACGTCTTAAGGGTTGCATGGCTTTTCAAAGGGTTTTCATAAAGCATAATGAGTCTTTCATGTTCAGATTTGATCCGAACGTCCGGACGGGTTGCATGTTAGATATACGTTCTATGTTGAAGGTTCCAAGTAGAATATGAATTAGGAAAATCTAACCTTCAAAGTGGCATGTGTAGATCATAAGTAATTGGTAAAAGTTCATAGGATTGCTAGGTGATGGTGGAACCCTAGTATTTTCTTAATTTGATTTATCCCAAAACTGTTTTCTTTTCCTTCTAGTTTTTAATATTGCAGATTGTCTTATTTTTATTAATTAATTTCATTTTTAATTAAAGTAGGCTATAAAATCAAACACCTCAATTTCTACTAAACAATAATTAATTGGAATTTGGTTTGCTTTGAATTATTTAATATTCCCTGTGGAGAACGACCTTGCGAGATCCGTTTATACTACAACAACCTTGTGATTCTTGCAAGTATTATAGGAGTTTTTATCGTATTCACATGAGTAGTAAAATCCCTATCAGCCACACCACGATATTGAGTTGTGCATTTTCCTAATAAATGAAAAGACCAAGAGCTTTGAGTGGTTATTTGAAGAATTCCTTAAAGCTATGTCGGTTGATTCATCGAAAGTCATAATTATGGATCAAGATAGAGTCAGGGCAAAGATGATTGGCAGCAAACTACCAACAATCTCTCTTTGGTACTGCATATGGATATTATAAACAAATTCAATAACAAGGGTTGGGTTGAGGGCATTTTCAATGATTTGCATGAGTGTAGATGAGATATCGAACGTAAAGAAGAATTTGAGGCAACGTGGAAGGCATTAGTAGAACAACTTGAATTGGTTGATAAATCTATGACATTTATGTCTTGCATGAAAATTAGGTTCCGACATTTTGTGAGAAGGCTTTTTTCTGCAGAATGTCGAGCAGTCAACGGACGAAGAATTGTCATTCATTTTTGAAGCAGTATGTGCATAGAAATCACTCTTTGATTGAATTTGTCATTTGTTTTAATCGAGCTCTTGGGAGACAGCGTTAGAAAGAGGTGGTTGGTGACCATAATGAAAAAAATAGAGCTCCTGCCTTCACGTTACATACTGAAAAGGTGGCGTCAACCGCCAAATCTGGTATTGTTTTGGCCAGTGAAGGCAAAGAAGTTGGCAAAGGTGCTGACAATACATCATGTTCAAAAGAGCTCAGTTTGCCCAAAGAATAATTTCGTCGAGCATGTACTTTATGTTTTTTTTTGTTATATTATTTGCAGTCTTGCCCGACGAAATGATCGTCGGACAAACAATTTTTTAGCTTTTATTTCTATAAATATACCTATAACGACCCAAAATTCTTATTTGGAAGCTAAATTCGGTAATAGGCCAAAACAAAGTCATCTCTATGCTATGAACCATAATAAATTTCTTTCCTTAAAGAAATCAAGTACAATAATAAATTTGGGTTATTTTATGGCTGCATCTAACCATCTTGTTAGACTGCCTATGTACCCTACAAGGGGATCAAGCCATTCGTAATTCACAATTCAATGTTAATCCATTTTCTAAATCATTCAAATAATAGAAATAACCAACATTAGTTTTAATAATTGAAATACATGGATACCAACTACGTGTTGAGAATATCAAAATTTGCCTAAAATGGCAGCATCAACCCATTGGCCACATGCCGTCGCACGCACTGTCGCAAGTGGAGGTTTCCGGCGAACGGAAACCCAGTTTTTCAACGAACTCCAAAAATTACCAAATTTTATAGGAAGATAGAGCTCTACAAGAGGAACAAGTTTTATACCTGCCATGACGTCCAAAAGTGGACGAAAGAAGGTCAATTTTGCCGATAAAGCCGAAAGGTGCTTAAAGCTTCCTGGCGTCAATTCGTTGCCTACAATGGTCCAACGGTGTCAAAGATGGTCGGGATTTACTCCTGGGATGATGAGCTACAAAAATCAAGTGGTGGCATTGGTCATCGCTTTGCCGATTCACCGGAAAAATTAAAAGGGTAGCTGAAGGACTGTTGATTTTCGTCAATTTTGTGGCCTCACATCACCACGTACAGTGGTTAATCAAGATGGCTCTTGGTTGGGTTTTGTAGAGGGGAATGAGAACTTCAAGATGGTGGTGGTGGCGTTGAAAAATTCCACCGGAGTTGGCCGGAATCAACCTCGGAAAATGGGATGTCACAGGGGTCAAATGGGTTGGGTTTTCTGGGTTATTTGGGCCTCTGAACCAGGTTTCCCGAAATGGAAACCTACTAATTTAGGTAGTTAGGCTTTGGAAA